TAAATGGAAGTGTTGTGATGCTCCTGACACTCTGGAAGAGAAGGACCCATAAAGCACAAACTGGAATTTCTAAACTCAAAGCCAGTATCCTTTACTATTACCTTCCATTTTGCCTTTGCTACTACAGATGATGCCCTTAGGGGAATTAAAACATGTCATTGTCCTGAGAATGCTGATGTGTCAGCCCCAGAGCTCTCCTGCTACCACAAGGTAACTGAGAGGGTACATAAGTAATATCTTTCAACCGTGCAGCCAAACTGGTGTACACTGGGAAGAAAAAATAATCTGATCACTAAAATGTCAACACAGAAATACCAAAGAAAATAAAATCAAGGAGCACATTTTCCGTTTGGTTCCTTGAGGAAACTAATTTCTCTGAAGGGAAGTGGTATGTTCAGCAAATAGAGATCAATAATTTTATTGCCCAGTGCACAATTTCCTACACTTTTTTCAATTATTTTGCTTACCCCAAACTATTCTGTCACAAGAGGAATCAAAGAAATCAAACAATAGCATTACAGTGCTTAATAAAGACTGTATTGCAATGAATGTTCTTCTGTGTGCACATACTGGTGATCTTAGCGGAACAGCATGAGAAAGACTCTGCAGAGTGCCATAAACATGCCAGAATCAATGACACATGGATAATCTGTTTTCCCCAAGAGAAACAGATGAGCAGTTTTTGAGAGGAAGGTTTCAGTCTAACTCTGGTTTGCCAATTGAAGAAAACACAATATCCATCACTACTGTGTTTCTGCAATAGAAATACTGGATAGTGCCTGATGGCACTCCAGTTCCCAGCTCTGTCAGGGGCTTCCAGCCAAGTGTTGGGTGAGCCATGTTTGTGCAGTACTGTGTAAACTCAGGTAAATCCATAGCTAAATGGAGTAAACACAACTAAACACTACCAACCTGAACAAGACCTTTTCCTAGAGTCACTGCCCATCAGTGAATACTGATGACAATATTTCCTTTCCTCTGCTCTAGATGTAGCACACTGAACTCACACACCCATGTGGCACCATCTCTCTGTACTCCAGTGCCAAACAATCTGTCATCTCACTGGGGTGAGGCATTCGGGCGTTGCTCTCATTAAGGGCAGTGATAATGCACAGGATGACTTCTTCAGGTGTTATGTTCCTGTAAAATCTTACTGCAATCTCACCTGGCAAATGATCTAAAATCTCAAACTTGCTGTTTTTCTTGTGCAACTCATCTGTTAGCATGTCTGTACAACAGAGCATGAGTAATTTAAAGTAGGGACCATCCTTGAGATTGAAGGAAATACCCTGTGAACTTGGAGACATGCCACCACAAAGCTCCAGAGTATCTGAGATCCAGCCTTCTTGATAAATTTGCAGCAGAAGTTCTATTAGCACTTTTGCTGTTGCAATCAGGAGTCCATTTTTAACATATTTAAAAATTAAAATATTTATGACATTAAATTAGCTGAAGGTTTAAAAAAACAAACTCAAAACCCAAAAAAGAGGCAGATTTAAAAATGCTTCCAAACTGCCTCAACACTTGGGGTATTGTTCAATGGGGTTTTTTTGGTACATGGTTACAAACATAGTACATAGTACAACACCACATAAGGTAAATTCCCACATTAGCTACTGAGAATATTATTTCTAAATCAATTTCACCCACAGATAAAATCTTATACAAGGTATAACCTTAAGGCCTCAAGTTCTCAGATTTCCCAAAACAGCTTGTTGTAGATGGCCTTTGAATGCTTTGATACCTTTTACTGTAGGAAAGTAAAAGGTTGCTATCATCCCTGTCAAATCCTCTTTAAGTGTGCGAATCTATGAAAACTCATGGTCAAAACCTCAGCAACTGCTAACATGTTATCACACCTACAACACTCAGTGTTTACTCACCTCTCAGCTCTAGACTGTCTCTGGTCTCAATAGAGATAGGAGTTGAAGGGACAATAGTGTCCCCACCTGTAGCAGTGAGGAGGAACTAGCAGGAAATCAATGCAGTCCTGACACACAAGCCAAGGGCATGATCCAGGCATGTGGGTGCCTGCACCCCATGTGCAGCTCTCAGCACGGCTGCGTGAGGCATCGAGGCACAGCCCGGGGCCGTTTGGCTGTGGGCAGTGTGGAGGAACCACTGGGACACCATCCCTAAGGGCTGGCAGCTGTCGTTGCTGTGGCTTCCTCAGCTTATCCTGTCAGTCCTGACAGCTACAGATGAAAAACATTTTGTACAAATCAGTTTTGAGGAAAGTAAATCCACATGGGGAAGCCAGGTGTGCAGCTGATGGAGACAGGAAGATCACTCTTGACTTTGAGTGTCAGGGAGCTCTCTAATCCTGAACTGCACTGTGCAGGCACAGCTGGGATTGCTCCTTCTCACGGTCACAATCTCCCTGTTTCTCCAGTCAAATTTCTTCATTTTCTCTTCTTTCCCACAACCATGACAGTGCTGCTGAGGTCACACATCTCCCAGTGAGTCCCTCAGTTACACTTTTTCCCCTTATGTGAGGACACAGTTCCTGGGAAAAAGGCTTTTGCAGCTTGAGATGGAGAGCTGTGGTTCTCTTAGCTGTGAAAAAACGCCTACTGTGCTATCCATGCTGAGGCAGAACCCCTCTCCCTGGCACAGGGACACATGCAGGGACATTGTCTTATCATCTTCAGCTAGGCCAGAGAAGGTTTAGGTTGCTCACTAGGAGAAATTTCTTCACAGAAATGGTGAGTGGAATTTGAACAGACTGCCCGGGGAGGTCCTGGTCCACCCCAGAAAGCGTTTAAGACTGAACACGGCACTTGGTGCCGTGGCCTAGTTGACATGGTGGTGCTGGCTCATAGGCTGGATTCGATGATCTTAACTTTTCAGCCTAACTGACTCTGTGAGGTGACACCTGACCGCGGCCCAGACCCCAGCCATGAATGGCGGGCCCACGCTGGCCTAAGAGACACAGCACCCCCTGGCATGCTCAGATGGAAAAGGAAAGTCTACGAGGTCTCAGGGGATGCTCAGCGTTCCCCACTCGCGGGACCGGGATCGGAACCGAGACCGGGAGAGGAATCACGATCTCCCTCAGGCTCCGCGCCCGCCCCTCAGCCCTTTAGCGCCTCCCGCCGCGCGCAGGCGCGAACAGCTGGCGCCGCCCGAGCACGCGCAGTGCGCATGCGCGGGACCGCCCCGGCCCGGCCGCGGGAGGTTGAAGCGCTGAGGGGAGCGGGGGAAGGAAGGGCGGTTCTGCCGCGTTCTTTCCTCTTTCTCCCCGGTCCTTTGGGGTTTGTGCTCCCCCAGGGACCTCCCTTCGCTCCCCAGCCCTGCGGGTCGGCGCTGTGGCTGTATTCTTGGGGTGTAGCACGTCAGAACGAGCTCCACAGGTCTGTGGCCGTGCTTATGGGTTCCCCAGGGTTCATCTTGCTTCTCTGCGGGTGGAAAACTACCAGGGCAAAAGCTTGAGTGTTAATTGTATTGTGTTGATAGAGTGTTAAAAGTATTGAGTGTTAATAGAGCCTTTTGTTGTTGAGGCAGTAAAAGGAGTGAGTGCCTTTATATCACGTAGCTATAAGCAGGAAAACAGAGGACAGTTACAGACGTACCCAAAGTGCAAAAGTAAGTACTGAAAAGCAAAATTGTCTTTTCCCCTTCTAACTCAAATTTTCTTTACTTACTGGACAGAATTTTTTGTGTGGTGAACAGCATTACTGGTTGAGAATGCCAAGGATTCTTAGCCGAAGATACAGGAAAAGGATTTTAAGAGTGCAGGGGATCTGTGTGAATATGCTGCCAAGTAACAGTATTAGTAAACCAGCGGAAAAGCTATTAGTTATGGTCATTTAAAAACGAATTTGTATTAGAAAGTAAAGGCAGAGAATCATAGGATTGCTTGGGTTTTTTAAAGCTATCTCTTAGGCTTAAAATTATTTTGCTCCTTGGAAAGACTCACAACATATTTGTCATATACAGTGTGCATAAGAATGATGTTGCTTTTTCTAGGCTCTTCCTTACAAAAAGAAATAATTGTATTAAACTTTGATTATATTTAATGGATGCTGTGGGCTTCCTGTTTAATTGAGAGATTGCTAAAATACCCAATTAACTAGACTCCTTACTAGGGTCTGGGTTTTTTTTAATCGAGTACCATATGTTCAATTTTGAATAGCTGGGAAGGAATGTTGACTTCTAAGATAAATGAGGACCTCCATCCTTTGGTATCAAGCCAGGAAGACCAGGGTTGCTGGGCTATTAAGGCTTTGGCATACTGAAGCTTTGGCAGTTTTCATCTGTGAAGAGGCAGCCCCTTGTGCTAGCCCTCTGTTGCCTAGTTTTGGTTTGCAGGATTTTATTCTTGAGAGGCTTCTGTCTCAAAACTTGTAATTGCAATTTGCAGGTGAGTGGAGGTATAGCTGTTGATTTTCCAGCTGCATTCTGGTCATTAGTAGGTGGTTCACAATTGCTAAATGAAATTAAACATTGCCAAATTGATTTGAAGTTGGTTCATGCTGGGAGGTGTGACTTAACCATTTTAATTAAGGTGCCTTTCTGAGTGAGCTTGGGATGTTTCCTGTTAATCAAAACTTCCACCTGTGTGAGTAATTACTTTTTTAAGCAGCACCCCCAGAAGGATCAAATGAGAGTGGATTGTTTTCAGAGACCTGGATACCCAATTATATTGTTCTATATAGAAAAGATTAATTGTTTATTTTTGTGGACAACAAAAACCTCCCTGGCTCCACAGAGCTTTAGGAGTGAGGGGGAAAAATAATATATAAAATGGATAGTAAAGGACTTTATGGCATTTAGTAGTGTCATGCATCCTCTCAAAGAAAAGCTGTTCACAAAGCAAGATGCTACTTAGCACATGAAACAGTTGTGTAACTTATGCAGATGTCCTTTTTGAACATGCCAGTTAGAAAATAAGCCTTAGAATTTAATATTAGAGTTTTTTACTCGTTTCTGCAGCCAAGGGCTCATTATAATCAGGTGACAATGACACCATAATTCATTCTGTCATTTAACAGAGACAACTATTCATCTCGAGATGGAAGAGTCAGTGCTGGATAAATTGCCATCTTTGTGCAGTACTCCAAAGGATTCTGGGGCACCACCTGCACAGGGGACCAGTTCAGGGAAACAGGTATGAAAACTTTCTACTTTTCCAATAATATGATTGTTCCTAGTAAAAGGAATGCTTGTGAAATCATCCAGGAGTCAGAAGTCACTGAGATGCTGCTTGCTGGAAGGCTAGAGACAGGCACCTTATACCTGTAGCTAGGAGGCTGTGCAGGTAAGGAAGGTGCCTGGGGTGCTTTGCTGTGAAAATGCAGATGTTTGCTGTGAATACAAAGTGATGGAGCAACATAACCCAATGTCTTACTAATAAATTTAAATATTATATAGGGTGTGTGGTGGATTTTTTTGCTTCTTTCTTTTAACCTGTCATCTTCAGTTTTCTCAAATCCCAATTTTCTGTGTTGCTGTGCATGCAGGATGACTTTCTGTGACTTCTGCCTGCAGTGGAACAAAGTACAATGCTTTCAGTTTGTATCTTCTCCATAGTGCTGAGCTCTGCTTTGGTCTTATCCTGGGATGGGAAATGGTGATACTGTCACAACCCAGCATTCAGATCTACGCAGGACAGGCCTGGTTTGAAAGTATTCCATAACTAATCCCTCACTCCTGTATTTTAGTGCATTTCTATAAATAAAAATGTTAGACACAGATTATAAAAAATAGTTATTTTGAAGAACAAAAAATCTTTTCAGATGGTTGTGAAGTATCTCAAAGCATGAACAGGTCAAAACTATACAGGTATTTCTAATATGTTCTAGAATACAGAACATACCTCCATTAAACTAGAGGGGAAATTGATAGCATATTTCAACTTGGCTAATTTTATTCTATATTTCTTTTACACAAACACTAGGTGAGTAAGTTTGCCTCAATAGAATACAGGATTTTGTCCAAGAAAATGTGGAGCTACACCTTTCCCTATCTTGCAGCTGTGTGTGCAAATACATGTGAGAGGAAGAAGTTGACTTTGTTCAAGTTTTTGAAGGCTGTACAGAGAATGAGGAAGTCTGGCTTTACAATGATAGTTAAACATATTACACATTCTATGTAAACAATAATGATTGCTAAACAGTCATTTGAGATTTGATGAAAATTTAAGAATATTCTGACCACCTGGGTTTTCTGGGTTTATTTTGTTTTTTAGCAAATGAGTGCAGCTCTGAGGGAACGATTAAGGAAAACAAGACGTTCATTTAATGCCAATTTTACAGTGGCAAAGCGGCTCAAAATAGACACAGAAGAAAAAGACACTGCTGGTGCTGCCACTGAGTGCTTGCCAGAGACAAGGGCAGACTGTTCCAGGTTACAAGATGGTTCTGAAAACCTGGAAGGAAGTGGCACTGGACATACATGTTTCAAAAGTCCCTCACAGGAGAGTGATCCCTGTGGATCAGCAGAGGATTCAGATGTGCTGCAAGTTGATGTTGGTCAGCAGCAGTCCCTTGAAGAGAAAGTGAAGCTGGAGAAACAAGTGCAGGAGAAGGAAGAGCTGCTGCGTAGGCTCAAAATGGTGAAGATGTACAGATCCAAGGTGAGGCAATACCCACTCGTGTTTTACTGTGCTGCTTGTGTGTTGTCTCAGTTGAAGGCATTTTATAAGAATATCTGCTGGCAGCAGATGATGACTCTTTTTTGTCTGTCCCAATTTCAGAACAACCTGTGTGAGCTGCAGGCTTTGATAGTGAAGTGGAGGAGTAGCACCCAGCTGATGCTGTATGAGCTGCAGTCGGCCTTTTCTGCAGGTGGCACCAAAGTGAGTCTCACTCAGCTCATCGACACCTTTGGGTTAGAAGACCAGTTACTGCACTACAGCAGAACAGAAGAAGATTTTGTAGATGCGTAATCTACAGCTGCAGGGCTTTCTTTGCACAGACACAAAAGCAGAAAAGACTGAATAAATTCTGATTGTGTCAGAAGTGTTGGTCAGACAATGGACTTTATGCTTTGAGGTTAGGAGGTTTTCTCCAGAGATACTTGTAAAGCTGTGTGCATTCATACAGTAGGCACTGTAAAAGGCATTACTTAATGGAAAAAAATCAAACTGGTGATGTTTTGGAGAATCTGGCTTAATGACTTGGTCAGTGAATTTTTATTTAATAAAAATAAAGTCATAGTTTAACAGGTAGAAAGAAGTCTTTTTTTAATTAGTCTCTGCATGGTTACTTGTATTGAAATAACTCAAATTGTCAATTCTATTTATGTTCAGCTGGGGAAGAGTGCAGTTTGTTTATAGATACACCCATTTTACACGTCTTCCTGGTGCTAATGACAGCATTTTGTGAGTTAAGTGAAGATAACTGATTTTCCTGATGGTAATATCCCAGAGCTGGGACAAGATGTTTTCACTAGCTTTAACTCCTACTGAGGAAAATGTGTCATAATGCAGTTGCTTTCAGGTTCTGGTCCAGACAGTCTCTGCAGAGCTGCTGTCTCATAAGCATTCTGCCACAGCCTGAGGTAATAGAAGGGAAGGCAAGAAAATTGAAACCAGCTTTCTATTCTACTACATCTAGAGCCAAGGTGTTTTCTCTCTTCAAATAAATAAGAAAAACAAGGCCTTGTTTAATGGGATTGCTTCAAATACAGCATCATAAAGCTGAATAAATCTTTACAATTCCATTTATTCTCCAACAAATGCCTTTTTTGAAAGTTGTTTTTATTTAACTTGAAATTGCTTATTTTTTCATCATGGTACCTTTTGTTTTTTATTTTCCCTAAAATCACTGCTTCTCAAGTGTAACAATACATAAATCTTAATGACTATACAACTCTCCTTGCTAGGAATCTTGTTTTCTTATTGGTTATACCCTGCCTTTTTTGTTTGCAGGTGCTATATCCTGTGTACCTTAATAAGGGAGTAATTTCTTAGACAGCTCAAGAGAAAGAAAATCAAAGATCATACAGAACCTTTTCACCATTGGTGAGGCTCATTAGACTTCAGCCTGTACCTACAATTTGCTCTTAAGAATACTGACTCTTGCTGTCCAGAGAGAATTAATGCAGAACAGCCTTTATTGCAAATCATGTTTTGAGTATTAAAGCAATATTTCTCTGCCTCTTTAGGCATATGCAAAAAGATGATGGTGCCTGGTGTAGGGGCCAGTTCACTTCCTTGGAGTTGGAATGATGCTGCTTCTTTTTCAGCAGAAAGACAAAAGGTCTTGTAGTGAGATGTAATTAGAATCCTTACAACTTCCAGGTAGAGATGGCAAAGCAAAAAACCAGATGTACAGGATCACAACTGACATAGTAGAATTTTAGGCTAAGGCATCAAAGCTATTTGTTGCTCTTACAATGAAATGGGTTAAGATGTCATGTGACTTTATGAAAGGAGAAGGATTGACCCACACCATGGTGCAGGGAAACAAAAAGCAGGGACAATGCCTGAGAAGGTAGATTGGGCTCCACCAGTAGGTAACTTTATAATGGTTTCTTTATTTTTCTTAGCTGTTGTGGAAGGAGCTGGCAGGAAAATACTCTGCACCTCAGTGTAGAAGGGTGGGAGATGCCAGCAACTATTTCAGGAGGCCAGATGCTTCCAAACCTGGTTTTCCTGTGATTCTGCCTGTGGCAGCAGCCACAGTTCCTGCGGGCTGTGGGTGATTATCCCACAATAAGGCACAGCTGCCTTTGGGATGGGGCCAGCTTGCACACATGGTTCTTTTCTATAATGAGCTATACAGTTTATATAATAAAACCAGTAGAAATAGATCTCATCACCTGAAATATAATGGGGTTAAGACCAGGTGTAAAAAATACAAATCAGACAACCATGCATCTTTTAAATGGAAGTTATTTTAAGGAATTACGGAAGAAACAATTTGTGGAAAGAAAAGTTCAGGGAGAAGAATTAGCTGTCAAAACTCTTTTCCCTTAGATAAGACCATGGTATTATTCATCTGTTATTCACCTCTGATTTTTAAACAATATGGAGTGTTCCTGGGTTCCAATTTTCAAGTTTTGACTGAAGAAGTGCAAGCTGTTTTTCCTGTTCCTTTATAAGGTTCCGTAGATATTTCTGCTTCACAATCTCTTGGTAACGCTGCCTTGTGATCTTCTCAGAAATATCCCGTGTGTCTGCAGAAAACAAAGTGTTAGTGTTAGCCTGTGCTCAGAGGGGATGTGTGGTCTCTATGGGACCTGTCCTGGGGTTATTCCAATTTCTGTATAAAATAGGCAAGCATTTTGAAAAAAGGCTCACAGTTGGGCTTAAAAGCCTTTATGGTACTGAATAAAGCAAAATATTTCAAAAAGGCACTGGACATGCTTTCTTTAGCATCTAGCAAGTACCCACTGTCTTGAAAATCTGTAACTGTTTTCCACTAGTGGAAAGATCTCTGTAAGTTTTCCTAATAGTGAATACTATTCTTAGTTCCACATTACTTTCTCTGTTCTCTTGGAAGGGTGGAAAGAAGCCCATTGAACAGTTCTCAGAAAAAAATGATTTGCCTAATAAAGTCATTAATGACTGTAATATTTTGACTTGAACATTTCCAGGAATTCAGCTAGCTTTGGTTACAAGAGCCACAAGAGTCTCCAGGTGACTCTTCAGTAACCATGGTAGGTGTTGGCAGGAAGGACTCTGCTCATTGTGTAAATACATAACAGACAGGCATTCCTTGTCCCTCAGCTGATGGTGGAGAACAGCACTGTCCAGCCCTGGAGTTATTTTCTGAATGTTCTTTGCCTGTGCCTAAATGCCTCAGTGGACTCACCAGCTGCCTCGAAGATGTGCATCCTTTCTGACACAGAGACAAGCATTTCCTTCAGCTGCAGGCTGAGCTCGTAGTTCTCCTGCTCTTTCAGACAGATGCACTTCTTCAGCTCTCTGACTTTTTTCTGATGGTTTTTCACATTCTTCTTGTGCAACTATCCATTTTGAGATGAATAAAGCAAATATATGAGGTCATACAAAAACTGTTCAGACAAATTTATAATATATAAATAAATTTATAAAAAGTTATCATTTTAAGCACTGTGTCATATCTTGACAAACTCTAATGTGTTGAATTGACTAGTAGCACACATGATAGGATTTACTTTGGAAAGTGTCTTTCACACATGGTATCTCAGTTTATGGAGTTCTAATTTAAGGAGCAGTCAAGGAATAAAGAGGTATATGTCAGAAAGAAAGAGATATTAAAGATAAAACTTGAAAGGCAAAGGGAGAAAAGGAAGTCAATAGAATCAGTGAGTTAAGGACATGCTCTAAGCTGCTGAAGCTGATGGATGGGCTGTAAAGGGATGAGATAAATTCTAAAGCTCTAAGAGGAAGAGGAAGCTGATGCCAATTAGCACAACTTGGAGAAAATCCACTGAAATCACTTTTAAAAAAAGGACAGTCATAATTTGAATGATGAAATATATGAAGCAGCCAGCAAATCAGACTGTTGTGTCTCTTATTTTGAATACAAAGGGGAGGGATACTTTGAACAGGCTGGTGCTCCTGGAGAGAAACATTAAACACTGAAGATGGAAAGAATGCTTCATTAGGAATGGAGAAGTGACTTATAGGCAGTGCTGTGTAAGAAATGATTAGCACATCTGCATTCAGATGTTCAGGGTAGGAAAGTATTTAATTCCAGTAAGAGAGCAAGAAGCCAGGCTTCATCTCTGCAGCAATCCATGTGTGATGAGTGCTTCCAAACACTAGAGAGCTGCTGCTGCAGACAGCACAGCTCAACTTGAGGAAACTATTGAAAACCAGATGGACAAATACATGATATATCTATATTTATATATCTGTGTGTCTCTCAGATGTGGTGGTTCCTTTGGATTTACCTTATCCATGACGCTGAGGCTCTGCTCCATCCCTGCTAGCTGCTGAGCAGTGTGGGTGTCGTAGTTATGCACAGTTAGGAACTGAAAAAATAAAACCAGAAAGAAATGATCTTATGCCTGTTCATTCTCAACAATTCCACCCTTCTATGAAGAAAATCATACTATGTGGAACTCAAAACACTGGAATTCTGCAGTGGTAAAGCTTACTATTGATCATAAATGGACTTTGTAAAGATATGCTTGGATGCTGTGGGAGTACCTAGACTGTGCAGCTGTTAAAATGGATGTTTTCTATTATATATTTGTAATGGAAACAAGGGCCAAACAAGTATGCTGAGGCTGTCAGAAACCCCAAGGTATGCTTTTGCTTGTAATCTAAGCTAACATAGCTGGAGGCAGTCTGTCTTTAGGCTACAGAGGAAAATTATTATTTTCTGTCTAGTGGCTTTCTAATCATTCTTACTTCTTTTATTGTTCTATCTGCATAGTAACTGACATATCAGAATTTATTGATTTTTTCCTTGAGCACATTGCTACTAAAATACCTCTTTATCAAATGACAAATGGTAAACCCCAAAATGTTTTATGGATCTATAACAGGCAGTAGACAGGTTTCTGTAGATGTATTTTCATCCTTCCAGAGTCCCACCAAAGTGACAGGGAGAACCCTGTGGACTGTTCTAGTTACAGGAGCAGAAACAGGAAAGACCCAGAAGGGGCTCCTTGCCTACAGGATTAAACTTCTTTCACTCACTGTTTCATTAACAGCCCTCAGTCCAAATGATTTCAAGTCCTTGCTCACACACATTTTCATAAGCCATCTTTCTTTCCATTTCTGTTGTTGGGGTATCTGTTACCTTGTCTTTCCCACTAACCCCATATTTCTAATCCAAAAGTGACCTAAGTCAATTCCCTCAGGGCATTCAAATTCTGATTAAACTGGTAAATGCCTTTACTATGGGCAGTTTAACTCTCTGAAGGGCACGAGCTCTGCTCATCAGTTTAATGAATAGAGCTAATGGCAACACTGGTGATAAACTTGCCACAAGCATTTTTCAATGCACTGTCACAACACCTCTTTGGAAAGCTGTTCTGGTGATTGGTGTTAGTTACAAAAGACCTGTGGCTGTGATTCAGAACATGCATTTTGTAGAGCAGCAATACAAATGAAGATTAAGCAAAACATATGTTTTGAATTTTCTTCTAATCCTTTGATTGAATGGCAATATCCTTACCTGCTGTCCAACACTTTCCTTTTCCTCTGTGCTTTACAGCTGTCCCCACTGCTGTATCTTCAGCCTACCCATCCTTCAACATCCCTTACTCCAAACCTTTATGCCACCCACATCATCGGCATATGACAGTAAGATTTCCCTACAGTTTTCAACATCCCATTCTGCAATACCCCCAGGCTTTCCCTACAACCTTCCTTCTCCCAGTGGTATCCTTGGCCGTGCCCCTCAACCTTTACCTCTTTCTCCTGCCTGCCAGCTGGGCTTGTTGGAAGCTGTGTAGGTGCTGACATGCCGGCGGCTGCCCCTCCTGCCTGCCGGGCAGGGCACAGCTCCCGGCTCTGCCGCTGGGCCAGCGAATGGCAGCGAGAGGGTGGGACCCGCTGAGGCTCTCCCAGGAACCTCAGGCTCCGAGCAGAGCAAAGGTAAAAAATGTCTGTGCGATACCAGCTGAGGGCACCTCAGACTTCCACTTACAAAGGACTGCTCGATTTAAGAGATCTGTTCCTTGTGGCTGCAAAATCCTGGTTCCTTATTCAAGACCAATTTTGAAACACTGAGTTAGGACTAATTTTGCCTTAATTTAACACTGTAACATCTCAAAGAATTTCATCACTGCTCAATCTCATGAGTAAGACTTCCCTTTGAAAGCTGAGTTGTTGACCTATTAGGAATCATGTTTCTCTGGTAATAAGAGATTTATGAGGTACAAATATAAATGATCTTTCTTATAGGTATAGGCAGCATAATTTTCTACAGTTGAAATATAAATCAGAAAAAGCAACTCACTAGCTGGCAATCTTTTGAAATAGGTAGGATTACAATATCCCGAGCCTTCTCTTTCAGATCTTGTATCTGCATTTTCATTTTCTTGTGTTCCCATTCCAGCTGTATTATCCCTTTGGAGAAGTCCTTAAATTCTATCATGGCAGTAATTTTTTTTTCTCCTTGAGCCTAAAAAAATAGATCAATCTTAATTAACACACTTAACAGATTATAGAATAATTGTTTGCAACAAGATGGGCAAGTTTCCAAAGTCATAATTTTAGTCAATTAAACATGCTATACTGCAAGCCTCTTTCCAGACTTTGCTCCAGATGGTTATCTTTTAAGGAAGTTCTTTCTCTTTTATGCTCTGTGTCACAGCCTTAGATCATAGAAATAGATGAAGAAAATGACAACTAGGCTCTCCCTCCATCTATCTATCTTACATAAGAATGGAAAGGCATTTTAGGTCTACAAAATACAAGCTTGCTCTGTTTAAGTTATTTTGCATATGTTACTGAAGGCTTTGTGCAGTAGCAGTAAAAGACAATTTTTGTACAGCTAGAACGCCTTAAAAAAGAACATTTCATGAGGGTATGAAAAACTGTTTTAAGTATCATCACCAATTTCACCTTACATAAGAAACTATGAATTTTTAAATTTAATGTGAGCCACTATTTGAATGCTTCTTAATATGGCTGTAAGTTTGCCTCAAGGGAATTTTTGGACTGGTGCCCATGATATTAGCATTTTCTAGTTACAATGTATGTGTAAGTGATGGTGTGTCTAAAGCCTGTCACCATTTCATTGACCTGAACTGTATTGATCAAACATCAAGAAAGCAGTCTGCACTGCAATCTCTACATCATGAGAAGAGACGTTAGAGAATGCTTAATAGCTTCTAGATTACAATTGAGCCTGCTGGTGTGTTGTAATGAATTGAAACTAGATGTCAGACTGGAGAAAAAGCTGAGCCCCTGAAGGACAATACATTTGTTTAGGAAGGTTAAATCTCCTCCAGATAATGTAAATTACCGCAACAGTGCGATTCAGTTCCTCAACAACACTCCTATCAATGAGAACAGCATCACTGTACTCTGGGATCCGAGTACCATCCAATTCCACCTGTCCTTGTTTTAGCAAAAACTGGATAATCAAATTCTGCTGAAGCTTCATCTTCTCCTCCTTCAGCCTAAGATGGCAAAAAACAAAAACAGTGTTTAGTGATTTCAACAGGATTACAGAAAGCCTCCCATGATTCTCAATGTTTATATTTATTACTGGCAGGTGGTATGTTCATGTAGGGCTTACTCTTTTCCAGACTCTGTCTTCTGTTTGCTGCTGAAGTGACTACAAAATCTGGAACTTATGGTATATATACACTTAAAGTTTTCAAGCACTGGATTCAGTTTAACATACACTAGCAATGTTCTGGGGAAAATGTCATTACTGAAATGAAATCTTAATATCAATTGGAAAGAAAACAGAAGAGACTTCCAGCCAGGGCCCATTTTCCTTTATATTTTACTTTGGAATTTATGAAACCTAGATAAAAGAGTGCAGGAGAACAGAAGTGAATGATTTTGTTTGTAACTTTTGGTTCTGTGTTAGTGGAGTATTAAAGATCAGCTGAACATAGGAAAAGATAAAAAATTACCAAGTGAGTTCTTGGAAAGCTTTCTCCAATTCTGACTTCATCTTATCATTTTCCTCCGTTCTTCTATGGAGACAGCCCTGCATCTCTGCCAGTGCTAGGGTCTTCCATTTCACCTAGGCAAGCAACATTGTGACATTCCCAACCTTTCCATCTTTGTCAGTATGTCAGGGCAAGCTTCTTTGAGGACAGAAAAGCCAAGTTCTTAAGAAGATATCTTTATACATAAATATGCAGCCCAGTATTTTGAGAATCTCAGTACAGCATGTAAGACATAAAGGTTAAGCCTTATACTAAGCTCAGGAAATTATTTGTTCATATATGAATATTCATGTGGAGGGAAATAATATTTTCATCTCTTTTGGTCAAATTTCATGTATATCTGTCTCTGGATAATCCAGATTTATTCATTCATGCTTTTATAATTAACAAATACATCTCCAGAACCATCTTTTTGTTAATAATTGCTCTTTATAGTCTAGAAAAATATTGGAATGCATTGGTGCAATTGTAGAATGCTTATGGGAGAGGATGAGTTCAAAAGATAAAGGGAATCAAATACCTTATAGCTTTTTCTGCATGGACAGAGAAAAGGAAAATGATGGGTTTTTATTTTTAATGAAACCATATCAAGACCACAATCATTCTGATCAAATCCATCCATATTAATAGGCTAATTTTTCCTCTGAAGAACTACAGCTAGAACTAGAGAACAGGTTCACCTGTTATTTTGAATTGAATGTAGCCAGAACAAACTTTCAAAGGCCAAGGGAGTATATGTACCCTGCACTGTTATATCACCGCTAGCTTGACTCTACATGAGAACTCCACTAAAATTTAAGACTCAAAAATATCAAGAAGTATATGGGCAAAATAAAGAATTTTACATACCAGCTCCTCACTCTCCATTTTATTTCTTCTAGCTAGACAAAAACGTTCCCACATAGACCGGTCTAAGCCACTAGGCATGTGCTCAGGTCTATCCAGTTCATCCATGGCTTTCATTAAAAGGGAAACTGCACCTTGGTAATCCTCAGGTGATCCCTTCACATAGGGGTTAGCTGTGTCAAGGAGGATTTCTGTATCTGGGATCCTACAGCACACACAGAGCACAGACAGGATGTACTTTGTATTTTCTGTTGCATAGCAGAAGGTCACAAATAACTAAGAATGTTTCATACTCTCAATCTCTTGCAAAAAGCAAACAGATAAGACTATACCAAACAATAATATTGTCTTGGAACCTGATGATTGCTTAGATTGCATTTAAAATAGATTTTGTGGAGTAAATAAGGAAATGTATATTCAACATAGCAATTTTTAATGTGATTGGAAATTAGCTATTGTCAACTATTCCATAAAAAGCAGGCAATAAAATTTAGACTATTAGAATAAATAGTATTCTCATTCTTGACTCATAAAGAAGATTAGTATTTAAACAATGGAATCAGAGGGGATCTTACTCTGGTCGATGTTTGTAAAGTTGTAGAAGCTCCTCAAAGAGACTGCCAGGTGTATGAGCAAACTGCTTTATAAAACCATGTTCCAGGTTCTGGGGGTGAGGAGGAAAGCTTTCTTGTTACCACAATATTTTTTTTTAAAAAAGCATCAACTTGCCCATATCTTAGAAATACTGGATGCAGTACTTTTGCAAGTGCTCCCAAACATCACAGGAATCTGCACTATTTCATAAACTCTTCTATGCACACACTGTCCTTTACTGCCTAATTTCATTGATCAGTGAACTGGCCACAACTCTTGCTTACAGAGCAGTACATTCTTCTCATTATGAAGATATAACATTAACTTTTAATGAAACTCTGAATTCTGAAACTCCTTGTGTTTTCAAAAGTCTCACCTTCTCTTCATGTAATGCCTCTTTATAGGGGCCTGTGCAAGCCTCAACAGCCTGTTTTGCAGCCAGGATTTTTCTTGCACCCTTGACCTATAGTAAAACCAAGAGATTTCAGGAATGAAAAGGCAGCAGAAGCAGTGGATGGCTATTCACATACAGTGATGAAGCTCACACATTCTTATTTCTGGAGATAACCTTGTGAGTTATTTTAAGTAACCATACAGTGCCTTCTTCAGTGGTCACTTACAGGTACTGCTAGAAGATGAAGAGCTGTAAAATTAAACTAACTGCTGCTTAAAAATGTAACAAATTTCAAAAGGCTTGTAAGAAATGCTTACAAGCCTTTTGAAACATTGAATGTAACTATGTATGTTGATACCTTTTTTTCTATAGAGATTTCTCTTTACTTTCATGTCATCTCAGGTAAGACCATCAAAAAATCCCAAATGTTGTTCAGTAGAGAGTAAAGAGAGTTCTTAACTTTAGAATGCAATTTCCCAATTGTCATGACAGAGCTCTGCTATGTGTCAGGATACTAAAGTCGTGTTTTATAGAGGCTGTTAAATGCTAATACTCTGCAGGGGAGACAGTTCTGTTGTAGGACAAACTTGTTGTTGTGACAGTTTTTGACACTTTTCATGGACCAAAAGTTGTGCCAATGGGACCATTTAGAAAATGAGGGGAAAAAAAATTTGAAAATTGTAAGCTGGTATACTTTTGGTCTCAGATGGCTTTAAAACTAGTCCAGCCAATTCAGTGGTGGGGGCTAGCTGCCTGTTGGGAATCCCTCCCTGCAGCTCACAATGGGCTGCTGGCAGCTCCAAACACACACAGGCTGAGCACGAGAGCTGACATGTGGAGACAGCAGCATATTTATTATCTGAGGACTCATGAAAAGCTCCATGAAGTGGGCAAATGGGATAATATTGTCCCAAAAGCCAGAAGCAACCTGCAGACTACCACAGTAAGAGACTTGCATTGAAACCTAGACCTACTGCTGTACTTTCAGCTTGATACCAGGTAGAAAAGAATATTCTTTATAGCAAACAAATAGCAGCATGCCTTTGTGAATGTATGAAGTTTTACCAAAGGTGAACTGAGCTGAGAACCTATCAAGAAAACCAGAAGTATTTATAATGTATGTCACCTGTACAAATTGAAAAAAAAAAGACTGTAAATTGTCAGAAAGTCCTTTATGGCAAGATTTTGGTTTGGAAAGAGCAGACTTCACATGAAACTGTACTTTAAACATTACATTACTCCCAACAACAGCTTTCCAAATGATAACTTACTTTTTCTTTCTTCTTTTTCACAAGGAATTTATGAAGTCCAGCTTCTCTGGTGTCCAACTCTTCATCCAACAGTAAAGTGTAAATGAGATTGATTATTTTGAGTTCTTCCTGTGAAATGATTGTAATAAAAAAGTTAAAATTTCTGCTGCACAGAGGCACAGATGAAAAATTAATGCTTTTTGCAGTACCTGGTAGATGACCATCTGTGATTTCAGTTTCTTTACAGAGAGTTTGCGGACAAGCTCATCAAAATTTTGTGTTGTTTCCTTGATGGAAGCTTCAATTTTTTTCCATTCATTTCTCAGAAACTGGGGAAGGGAAGGACAAGAGCAGCAATATTACATCTGGAGGAACAAATAACTTTTTATGTCTCTCTCAATATATATCTATATACATGAGATGATGGAGAATGCACAACATACAAATGTATAATTCAGCCAAAAGGCCACAGAAATTACTTGTTTGGAAAGGGAGTTCTGCCAGGCTACAAAGTTATGTTGTTCCAATACCACTTTGAAGAATAAATAAATTTTATTATTTTTGTATGGCATCAGCAACTCTGGGAATGAACCTGAAAAACACATTTTAGAAATACTGGTACATTTGTGAAGGAAAGTTACCTTCTTAGGATATCACATCTTTTACAGGTTTTTGCCCATAGTAATTGTTATAAATGGAGACTGCCTGATTCTGTCTGAGGTATGATTTATTTAATATGCCATGTGATCTTTGATGATCATTTATTCTTAGTTTATCCTATTTATTAGCATTCATTTTTAGAAGTTGCTTCTGAGAAAGACTGGAAGCTTTGGTCATGAGCACTGTGAACAAACCCATCTTTTCCTCATTTTAATTTACCTGTCTATAATCTTCTTTTTCTTCATTCAATTCATTGACTTTTTTTTCATATTCTTCAAATACTTTCTTTTCTTCTTCAGTCCAAAGATCCTCAGGTTTGGATAAAAAATCAGGTGGAGGAATATCCTGGAAGTATTGAAGAATAATATGTTTAAAAAGCAATATTAAGTCTACATCAGCACACTAAGAAACTACAGCATGCACTAAATTTAATAAAAGGTATTTCTTAGTAAGGTACAAGTCTTAAGTTAAAGTAACATATATATTCTGTTGCTTTGGTCTGTTACTTGCACCAGTAATTTTAGTGTATCTATATTGTCTATATATCATATATATATGTAGACTCGCTGGCTTACAGGAATTCACTACTGGATCTTGCAAAATACAAGAACTTCATACTCCAATACTACTGGCAGTACAAGATACTCCAAATTTTCTGTTTCAGAACCCCAAACCTAACTCCATGCTCATATAAGCTTCTATGTGGAGTCCTAATATTCCAAAACAGATTGATTTCAGAGGACTGCTTGGGTCTACCAACCCTTTTTCTGTGGCCCTCCTTCATATCCTTTCCTTTCTCTATTGCTGTGCTATCTATATTTGGTGAATTAAATGAAACAAAGTGCTTTTCTGTATGATCACAGCCTTCCCCCAGCAATATAGGTGTTATAATGGTAATATCTTAGATGTACATTAAATAGATGGTGTTCCAGAGTATTCCAATGTGATAGGAATAGATGTTGATAGGTAATTCTACACGGGCAGTAAAATCTTGTGGTCTTTTTTTGTGTGTGCTCTCTTATAGAGTCCCTCTGGTCATAATGCAATTCTGCAGTTCTCCAGCTTTTTGTGGCCACTGAGTTTGGAGATATTTGCTGGTTGAATTTCACATTGCCAGAAGAGCCCACAGGTTTCCTAAAGGACATGGCAGAAACACATCTCACCATTTTCAAAATGTCTTCCCTCCTGAGTTCCAGCACTCCACCCATCATTTCCTCAAGAGCACGCAGTCGATCATCATCCTGGGAAGAACCACAAAAAATATTTGAAGGTACAAAAGGAAGTGTAGCAATTGCAAGTTTTGGGCATGATAACAGTATTTACCTCTAGATTATTCAGCGTGTAAAAGCAGATTGATGCTTTTTGGGGATGTGTGTGAAACAGGCCAAAAGTTTCAGTTCTTTCTGGTAAAGTTACTTATATGCCAAATAACTTACTAGAACTGCCATTTTGGCCGTTTTGGAAAGAACACAGGCATAGGTTACTCCTGACAAGCTATGAAGAAGGAAATTGTAATTGTGCATCTGTTTTGGAGACAGAACCATCTTAGTTTTTTTATAGATGCATTTTAAAGCCAGAGGAAAGCAGTACAGTCTTCTAGTCTGAACCATGGAGAAGAGAGGCTGCTGAATCAACAAACACATACCAAGCAAAAAGATCTTGATTGAGGAGAGGCATGAATTTGCACAAGTATCTAGCTCCCAGCCACCTGATATGGTATTTTAAATTGCCCCTAAGCCCATGTTTAAAAACTGTGAGTCTAACATTCTATCTTTTCTTCCCCCAGCTGACCTATGTAGTTCTGATTGTAAACAGTAATAAGAAGGAAGAGGCACATATCTTCAATACCTACCAGTTTAGATTTATTCTCTCATACTACATTACTGGAATGTTTCAGTGCTGCAATAATTAAACAGCCTAAACAGAGACAATGGGGATGTAAAAGGGATGTTTCTTCACTTACTGTAGCAGCAAGGCGTCTTTCCTTTTCAAGCTTAGCCAGCATTTCTGCCTGCTCTTTCTCCTCTTCAGTCATGTATTTCTCAGCTTTAATCTGAAGGCAGAAAATGAAGAAGTTTGTATCAGGGTTCTTTTCTCCAAATGTGATCACAGGGACTAAGAACCTTTGGAAAAATGGTAGTCCTGGTTTTGGCTGGGATGGAGTTTATTTTCTTCCAAGCAGCTGGTGTACAGTGCATCCCACAGCCTGGGGATTGCCATGTTGGTGGTGAGCAGTTCTTTTTCATTTGCATCAGTTGTTTTGTTTTGGCTTTATTTCTTTCTCTTTATTTCTTTATCTTTTAATTATTTTCCTCTTAATTACATTTATGATTATGTTTTAATTACATTAATTACACTATTATTATCATTGTTGTCATTATTATAATATTTTATTTCAGTTATGAAACTGTTCTAATCTCAACCCATGAGTTTTCTCACTTTTACCCTTCCAATTGTTTCCCTCACCCTGGTGAGAAGGGGCAGTGAGTGAGCAGCTGTGTGGTGCATAGTTGCTGACTGGGGTTAAAGCATGACAATGGTGTACTACAAATTCTCAATGCTTGCTGTATCTCTGCTCTATGACAATATTCCTCAAGTTGAAAATTCTCATTTTGAACAGCAACAGAAACTACATTTAAACATCCTAAAATATAAACCATCATCACTTTTGTTGCTAACATTTAAATATCCTAAAATATAAACCATCATTATTTTGTTGCTATTGTTGCTATAGTTGTGTTTTGTGTATGCCTTCTCTTATAGTGGGATAACATGGACTGGTGAGAGAGTAAAGAAAAATGGGAAAAGATTGACCACACCAGCAGATAAGATCAGTGGAATTTACTGCACAAGAAATATGGTGTTTCTTTGTAAATAATTAATTGAATTTATAAGTACATTACTAAGTATGCTCTAATACTTAGATTTTTAGTTTAAAACTACTTTGTTTCAAAATGGCACTCAGAGAAAACAGAGAAACCCTTAACTATAGAAGCAATTCCTGAAAACCTGGTTTATATGTTAGAAACAAAGAATTTCTGTCTCATTTATGGGCATTTTTAAAACTTTTAACAGCAATAAATTAAGTTTGTATACATTTTTCATTTCAGATCAACTTATTAAGGCTTTTCTCCCTAAAAAGGAAAGGGAAGAAAATGGGCCAAAAAGATGATTTTAAGTATACAGAAACCCTCTGCTTGAGGGTTTTTCAGTATTGACACAATGTGTGGAAATGACAAGAATTAGAAAGCTGGGTTTGAATGGGTCAAATACAAAGATGCATTTTTCAGACACCTCTGAATCCTGAACGGTGAGCACTCGCTCTGGAATCTCATCATCTGTAAAGTCTGGCTCCCACAATTCCACTTGAATGTCAAGCTGCTCCAAGATTTCTTGGATCTTCAGGTTTCTTTCTTTCACTCGTGCTATCTCCTGCTCCTTTTTTTGTACAATGATGTCAAATTCCTCATTAAAAGCAGCCTTCACTTTGTAAATGACTTCCTGGAATACCAAAAAAGGAAACAGCAGCACTGTTCAGATCACATCCATCCAAGTATATATACTACTCCTCAAACCATCAGAATCATGAATGTATTTGTGTGTGTGGCAAGGAAATAAATGGTAAAACTTTTTTGTGAAAATTGTAAGCATAGAGTTCAAGTTTGTTAAATGGACTTTGGCAGATGATCTCTTTTTTTCTTTTTTTTTTTCCCCAGAAATTTTTATTCATTTTCTGCCATACATTTGGCATTTAAGAAAGAGTCTGAAGGAAATATGCTGCTGCCAAAGCTAGATAAAAAATTTGGCTCCTCTATTTGCTTCTTCTTTGGCCCTCTCCAGGTAAAAGAAGGAGGAGCTTCAAAGAAAAACACATGTGACCTGTAAATCTAGAGACTGTGAATCACAGGTGCAGGGAGGCAAAGGATATACTTTCCTGATGCAACCTGCAGTTTCAATAGGCTTCCAGGTAAGTAAAATGTGCCCATTAAACAAACATTGGAAACTGAATTTTTAAGAACATCTCAGACCTTAGAATCATCTAAAAAAGCCTGTATTCTTAGTGGATAAATTCTTCTAGCATAAAGAATTGATCTCAACAAAGAAAAGCAGAAATTTAAATAGGGTAAAGCATATGTCTCTCTTACTGTGTCAATTTACTAAAATGCACCATGAAAAGGATACAGATACCCTGAAACTGGATAACCAATTTCATAAAATCTTGTTCTTGCACACCCAAGCTGGCAAAGCCACAGCAGTTTGTGCATGTATCAGCTTTTGTCTCAGTTACTCAGAGACTGGTGCCTGTCTCCAGTGTTTAGTGTCAGTATGTCCAAAATCTAACAGTGGCTGTGACTGGTGTAAAAACCAACAGATACAAGAGTGTCACTGCAGCAGGACAGGTTTCAGAAGATATCACCTTCAACAATATTGTCTGATTGAGTTTCTGCTCCTTTGTGTGCAGGTCACACTGGTGGTAGAGGATAGATGTGTCCCCACCATACTGAGAGCTCAGGCTTCCATTGAGGCAGAGAGGTGCACCATGATCAGCCACTTCCCATGCTGCCCCCTCTCCTTCCTCAGATAAACCAATCTCAGAGTCAAGATTTTTCTTCTGAGCCTGCATATCAGAAACATGGCAACTGTGTTAAGTTTGTACACGATCCAGTGGCACACAATGAAGAAAATTCTAGAGGTTATATTCTTCAATTAACTCAGTGATCAAAATAATCCAAGTTGAAATGATCATATCTGGAATACTGGGTCCATTTGTAGGTTCCCCAGTACAACACTGGGAATACTGAAGTAAGTCCAGTGATAAAGCACTAATATCAGTAAAGATTTAAAATATTTTGTATGTGAGGGCAGACTGAAAGAACTGGAATTGTTTACCCTAGGAAGGAGAAGGCTTGGAGGGGTTCTTTTTCCTGTGAGGGTTGTCAAACATGAGAAAAGGTAGCTCAGAGAGCTTATGGATTCTTTCACCATGGAGATATTCCAAGCCTCACGGGACATAGCCCTGAGTAAATGCTCTAGGAATGCTGGACTAGATAATTTCCAAAGGGCTCTTCTAACCTCAGCTATTGTGTGATTATTTAAGACTAATACATTTTTTTTTAACAACATTTCACCTTGATTTATGTTTTTAAATTTTTTTGGCCAACTGCTAGAGCAAGAAAATGGGCCTTAGGAATGTAACTAGTTAAAGAAGTGATAAAATACCAACTGAGAAGATCTGATCTGTACCTGAAGATCAGCTGTCCGCTTTAACTGGAGAGCTTCCTTCAAAGTTTCCAGCTCTTCTTTACTACGTTCCTTCAGTGGAAAATTCCTCACTGCAAAATCCATATGGAAGCACTGCTCAAATTTAAAATAAAAAAATCCACAGTAAGGAGTTCTTCATCATGCTTCTATCAGTTCATTTGTTCATTACCTGAATGCTAAACAGTTACAGACTGCTTCAAATCAGGAATAAAACTGAGGATCAATTAGTACAGACAATGTATTAAATACATTGTATTTAATACATTGTTTTGTGATGTTTCCATCTTCTTCTGTCACCTGTGCATTAAAATTGTATTTTAAAAAATAATCCATGGGTGTGGCCTCTTTATCCATCTTTATTCACAGAATTAAATCAGAACTAGTTTGTTTGGTTTTTTTGTAAAATGAGTTGGTCTTTCACTACCCTTGGGATCACTCAGAATCATCAGTTTGACTCATCTCCCTCTATTCAAAAGGAAAAATTGGGTTCAAATTTTGCTTTTATGTTCTCTGTAGCAGAAGTCATATGGACTGACAAGGAAAAATAGTATTTACTTCTTCTTTTAGCAATAATGTGTAAATATATTGTCTGAGATCAAGGAATTAGAGTTCCCTATTTGCTTATCAGCACTACTTTCCACTTTAGAAGGTAAAATTCATCAGGCTCAGACAAAATTAACAGAATAAAAGATTTCCCCAAGCCTTGGGAAGAAGTGAAGTTTTTCCCACACCGTAAGCAAATCAGAAATGCATTGTTTTGTCTCTGTACCTTAAGGAATAAATAACCTACTGCAGAAAATATCTTAGAAAGCAGAAGTTACCTTAACTGCACGTTCTTTTACACACATGTTATCCCAGCACTCAAATTTGATTAAATCCTGCAAATAGCGGTAGGATAAAATCTCCATCTCAATCTCCCTCTTCGCCTTTTAAGACAAAGAAGAGAAAATAACAGAATGTGGTGCAAAGTAACAATTTATGGACAATTTGTATTGAGTTACTAAAAGAAGACTAACAAATGAAATGAATTATCACTATTTCATCATCTTAGACTATCACAGCTGTCTTCTCCAAAAACTATCTGCATAGTACTGAAGGCATCATTTTCTAGAAGAAAAGCATTCTAGATCTTAAGCAACAATCCCAAGGCCACAGTGTGAGATTTATAGTTTCTGGCATAAATCATATTCCAATTTGCCTTGTCTGCCTCAGCAGTTTCACCTGCTTCAAAAGTGACTTTAAATACTTTCCTGGTTTTCTGCTTCTCAGCAGTGAACAGCAACTTTGTGCTAATCCTCTGTTATTTAATAACTTTTCTCCTTTACACTGATAGTTTTAAAATGTTCTCCCATTCTGCCATACCCTGGCCACATCTTCTTCAGCCTCTGCTTGCACTTGTTCCTGTTCTTCTAAATCCAGGTTGAACTCCCCATGCTCGAGTTTCTCAATGTCTGGCACCTGCTCATTTTCATGCATCATTTTCTGAATCTGTTTTTATTTAAAAAAATATAAGGAATAAAAAGTAATTTGAGTGTGAATAGAGGAACTGCTATTTTTAACTTGACATCAGAGAAAATTATTTTAATTATCTGCAGTTTTAACTGCCTTATGGGAAGAAACAGAAGAAAAAGGAGAGGACAGTCTTTTTTATAATGGAAGGTTGTTAGACAGGCAGAAATTAGCTTGCTGAAGGGGCAGATAGCTCAAGGTACGAGGCTGGCACAAAATATTCATTTGGAGCAAAGGAAAATGACAAGCAGACAGTAGCTCCTGGCAGTTTCAGCATTGGTCCCTGAAGAGGCACATCTCTTTAATACCTGTCTGCTCAGAGTCTATGACAAAAATGTAACTGAGCACTAGGGCTCACAGCCATAAAGGAAGTGTTCTTATAAACAAAACTGGGAAGCTGAGCCATTACCCTGGTAAGAAACTCACAGTTTCACGCAGTTTTCTAATTCCCATTTGCACCTCTTTCTTCTGGTTAGCAAACCTCAGAGTCTCTTCTCTCATAACCTGACATACAACCAATGCATTGTTGAAAGGCAAAAAAAAAAAAGGCAAGAGAAAAAAAAAATCAGAAGTAATCTAAAAGAACATTATCTTTACAGAAAATAAAATGCCAGAGGGGGTTAATAACTGAAACAGACACAACCCTAATTCAATAGGATGATCCTCAGAATTGCACAAGAGAAAACAGATTTTACAGCCAGGTCACATTGTAAACTGGTTGTACGGCAATAGCACTTGAAAAAAAGAAAATACTAAAGAAAGATGTAATTACAACTGCAATGCTTACAGACACGTTAAACTGCATAAAGCCTACTCCCAGAATTTTTTAATCCTTAGATTTTTCATTGTGGAAAATTTTCACTGTTTTCACTTTTCATTCAGTAATCTGCTTGGTTTCTGGTAATAATCATCTTGACAACTTTTTGACATATAGTATAAAAAGTTTTTAAGTTTCTAAAATAAGTGAATTTGTCAGGCTTTTTTCCCCCTTGTTTTTATTTGCCTTTTTTTTTTTGCATACTCCTTGTATAGAACTATTCTTCTGGTCTTCAGAGCTCCTATTGTGCTAGGCACCTTCTCTGATGTGTTTATAACCTTGGCCTTTGGCCTAGAATTTCTACAAGTCTAGATCACAATGGTTAAAGAAAGGATCACAATGTGAGAAAAACTTTTGAAACTAGATCTGTTTACAGCAAATACTTTGGTAACCCAAGTGACTAATGACCCTTGAAAACTCTGGTTTTGATTAATACTTTACATTTGATTAATGTTTTTTGAAAGTACCTTCTGTATTTTCTGGCCCATCCATGTCATGCCATCAGTATCTGTGACGTCTCCATCTTCTTCTGTCACCTGTGCATGAAAAGATTTCAGTGGTGCCTCATGATATTTATATTAAGGATATAAGCAACTAGCTCAGGTACCATAAGAGTGAGTGACAGAAAGATGGAAATGAAAGAAAAAGTGGACTCCCATTAGAAACACCACCACCACCAAATTAGAGGGTGCAACAATTTTGTTGCTTAACTAGTCCCCAGATCTGATCCTGCAAACTCTTGCTATTATGCACAGCCTTTTGACTGAAAGGATTGACTGGACTAATCTCTGTAATCCCTATTTTGATTGGTTTCAATGAAAAGCCATACAATTAGTAACACACAATGTATAGCAGTAACATCTTACTGGGAAGAACATGTAACTTCACATGAGGAGAAACTGACATTCACAGAGTTTTCTGTGGCTGAGGAAACCAAGTGAAACTCAAGATGTGAATGTCATCTTCACATAAATATCCCATTTCTTTGATAGTACTCTTTCAGAAAGTACTATTTAAGCATATTCAGCCAATCCTCAAGGGTATTCTTCCACTTTAACAAAAGGATCAGTGTATTAAGGACAATTTTTATAATGTAAAATTTTAGGATAATGATCAAACTTCTTCCCCCCATAAAAATAAAGAAAGCACTTTAAATTTCTTTACTGAAAATGATTTTGATGTGGATTCTGGGTCAAAATTCCATTCTGCCATAGATTTTAAAACAGAGTCTTCAGCTGAAATAGAGTTGTTCAATATATCATGTAGAGATTGCCAGTAATGAGCAGCTTTTTCAACTTCAGTTTTCTTTGTCTCCCTGGTAAACAGAAAGGGAACTGATGTATTTTTCATATATTATGAAAAAGGACAAAGTATTAAATATTCTTTATAACACAATTATAAACTTGTTAAAAATGCATATTCAATATTTTTGTATTGTTTGAGTTCTAGAATTGCACAGAAATAAAAGTTCTGAAAGATGGATTACCCATATTAGAAATATTGCTCTGACAGAGTCATCTTTATTAATCTACCTGAACACTTATTTTCCTGCAGGAAAGCTGTACTTTCAAGTGCCTCTTACTCCTAATGTCTGCTAAGAGCTCTCTACAGGCACAGTAGAATTTCCATTAAAGCTGTGATGTCTCCTTTTCACTGAGTTAAAATAATATCTTAGATTACATCCCTTACATGCCCAGAAAGGCCTTTCCAGAGCTGATGTGAGAATGGTAAGAGGTATCAGGTTATGTTTAGTAAGTCCAAGTGCCAAGTCCTGCATTTGGCCACAATAACCCCCTGCAGTGTTACAGGCTGGGGACGGTGTGGCTGGACAGTGCCCAGGCAGAAAGGGACCTGGGGTGCTGGTTGCCATGAACATGAGCCAGCAGTGTGCCCTGATGGCCAGAAAAGCCAATGGCATCCTGGCCTGGATTGGGAACAGTGTGGCCAGCAGGAGCAGGGAGGTCATTCTGCCCCTGTTCTCAGCACTGGTGAGGCCACACCCTGAGTGCTGTGTCCAGCTCTGGCCCCTCAGGTTGGGAAGGACGTCGGGACGCTGGAGCACGTCCAGAGGAGGCAACGAGGCTGGTGAGGAGCTGGGAACACAAACCCTGTGAGGAACCACTGAGGGAGCTGGGGGTGCTCAGCCTGGAGAAAAGGAGACTCAGGGGTGACCTCATCACCATCTACAGCTCCCTGAAAGGTGTAGCCAGGTGGGGGTTGGTCTCTTTCCCCAGGCAGCAACTGATAGAACCAGAGGACATACAGTCTCAAGCTGCACCAAGGGAAATATAGGTTGGATATTAGGAAAAAGTTTTTATGGAAAGATGATAAAGTACTGGAATGGCCTGCCCAGGGAGGTGGTGGAGTCACCATCCCTGGATGTGTTCAAAAAATGATTGGACGTGGCACTCAGTGCCATGGTTTAGGGCATGGGTTGGACTTGATGATCTTGAAGGTCTCTTCCAACTCAGTGATTCCGTAAAAATTCTCAGAAGATATTCCTGTATGTTGTGCTGCAATCAGACCCAAAGTGTAAGACTTTTCCTGAGCTAGGGAGGTCAGGCTGCCTCAAAAGATGAAAGGAATGATTTTATTTCTATCCAACTCTTCTCCTTACTTTGAGACTAGGAAAAACAAGTCTAGAATCACAAGTAGAGGGAAAAATTTATCAAGATACAAGAAATGACACAATCAATATTAGTCTGCCACTTTATACATACTTCCACTTCAGACACACCAGGGCACAATCATTTTCACCGTTAACTAGGATGAAATTGCCATCCAGGGAGAATATCATGGATCTGATTCCCCCTCCTTGATATGAGTGACAATGGTTTTGAGCGAGAACATCCTAGAGAAGTCATAGAAGCAGTATCAGCAAATATGTTTTTATAATAGAATATGTCTTTAAAATATTTTTATTACTTAGATTTAAAAAATATTTAAATGTTTCTTTATTTTTAGATAAAATTCAATCCAAAATGGCAGTACAAAGTACATAAAATACTAGGGTTTTTAAGTTTAAAAAGGTTTGACTACACATGGGACAAGTTTGTGGTATATTGATTTTGCAGGAGGTGAGAACAGTAGCAAAATTATTGATACTAAAATTTACTGAAGAAGGAAGTAAGTGGTTTGTTTGCTTTTTTTTTATGTATACATACTCATTATAAAAATAATTGTCTTGTATAATGCTAAGCCAGTTCATTTTCAACATAAATTTTTCTCACACAACTTCTATTCAAGTGAGGAAAAGTTTACAGTTCAAGGAAGTAATTTCCACACTTTTGTCTCACATAAATCAAACAAAGCCTGTGCCCAGACGCCCACCTACCAGAGTAGAAGTATTGTAGATAAACAAAACTCCATCCTTGGCTGCTGCTGCCAGCCACTGGCTGTTGGATGATAAACAGAGCAAGCCTGATCCAAGCTGTTTGCTAGGAACTGTCAGTTCTGATGAAAATATTGTTGGACCTCCGAACGTAGTCTGCCAAACAAGCAAAAGGTTAGCAGCAGTTCAGATGATATCTATGCCATTTTGAGAAAATTAATGAGAGGTTTGTGGGTTACCACATGCATTGCAGTTTAAATTGTTGTTGGATTACTGAGCTGAGGAAGTAGTGCCATTGCTGTGCTGCTGATTGCTTCTCATCTCTGCAAAAGGGTCTGGATTCAGTACGTTCAAGCCTGAATTTCTTGGCTCAGAAAGGATGGGACATGTCAAGGAGGAATCTGACCTTAAATTCACCTTTTTACCTGCCTTGACTCATAAACTCTGGGAGACCTATGAGCTGCAGAGAGCTGCAGCTCTCAGTGAGAGTGGCTTCCTGAAGCCCCCACTGCTGCCTTGCGAGGCTGGGCTGGGATTGCATTTGAAAGTCCTGGGCTGATGTTGGCTCAGTCCCTTCAAGAGCTGCATGTCCTCAGAGCAGACTGCACAAACCCACAGCTCCAGCACAGAAGCCACTTTTAAGTGCCTGCAAGCTGTGTGGATTTTAAGAATCAAATAATAGAACAAGGACATTGTTTTTGCCAGTTTTCTGAGCAAGTGGTAAGATACTGAAAGTTGATAAGTATGTATGGAGTAGGTATTTTGACCAGAGAAAAGATTTCTTTAAGATAATATCCTGCTATATTAATTTCATCTGCAGCCTTTGTTTTTATTTAGCTGTATTTAACCACCACCCAAAATAATGCAACTTCAGAGAATTACCACTTCAGAGAGCTGGTATTGACAGATGAGAGGTGCACAGGAGCAGTAGCCATACACAATGTTATTCTTCAGTCTGACTGCTGAGCTCAAAGGGTAATCCACATCATATTGCTTCTTTTTCAGGTCACTAGCATTAAACATTCCTTGTTCATTCACACAGTTTTCATTATCTAAAGGATTGACAAAAGAAAGAGAGAGGAAGAAGAGGCATGATTACCATTAATACAGGTGCTTTGCCTATCATGTAGTTATGAAAATGATCCTCAGCAAGGAGTGAGCATGAGGTGAGTTTTCAGGGAAGTGACTGGAAATTAATTAGCACTTATATTTAACACCAGCTCAGTGAGCTGTGCTGGTGCAGGACACTGCAGTGAAGCAGAGCAATAGCTGTACTGGCTCTAAAGAAGTACTGGAAACACTTTAACCACCATGATGTGACTATTTGCATGCACTAATTTACTCTGCTTCTTGGGTATTACGTCAACATAATTAGTGCTAATTAGTTTGCATGCAGGTTCATGTCACCACTGCCTTCATCTAGAACTTGTTTTAGGAATCTCTGCCATGAAGAACACACAGCCTGGGTGGTATTGGTTAAAGCACTGCAGTTCACATCTTCAAAAGGGCATTTTATTTGTTGAGAAAATTAATATATTTTATTAGTTAATAAAAGTTAGTCATATAAAGGTAATATATTTTATTAATTCCCTAATTTGAGCTTTAAAGGGACACCAGACATTAAGACTGACAAGGCACCTGATATAAAACTGAAATGAAGACAATAACTGTAGTTCTTCAGCAGCTTTGAAAATAAAGCCCCATTTTATATATCTAAACACAGGCAGAAAAATAAGTCCAAAATTAGTGAATATTTAAAGAAAATACTAACTTTGTTGAAAACTACAAAACTACTTTTTGAAAAGTTTGCAAAATGTAAGGCCTTTTCAAAATTAAATGTAAATAACTTGAAAATCTGACACTAGCCTTAATTGCCCTAGAAAATGAAAGTATCTATTTCAATTTTTACCTGTTATCATTGCTGAAGTCAGATGAAAAATTTCCAGTCTTCCTTGTTGGTCCTCTGCTACATTAAGAAGTACCACCACTTTAACTAAGTCATGCTTTAAGTCAGGAGTTACAGAAAGATGGAGCACTTCATCTTCCAGTACTGAAGCGGGTAAGGAACATCAATGGAAATTGTTACTGTGGCATGGTAACATTGTTTTTATTAAAATATCCTGTGACAAAAAATGAGACTCCTGTTGGGAACACAGCTCAGGAGTGCTGCATGCACTCAACTCCCCTTGAGGCACTGGGTGCTGGGAATCCCTAAACACCAGCACATTAATATTACATTAAATAGTTAAATCTGAATTTACCTCAAGCTTGAATTGTAGCAATTTTGAGGCTATCTGATGATAACTGCCAGATAAAGAACAGAAAAACCCTCCTCTAACAAATCCTCCAGACAATGAGAATATATATGATCAGGAAAATTACATAAGTTATTTAAGGAGATATAGTTCTGTTTGCTAAACCAATTAAAATGATAAAATAATGTCCTTTATATTTAAAATTATGGTGAAGATCTATACACACAGATATGATCTGTACGAATAATGCTTTTGGAAAAATAAATTCACAATTTCCAAATTTTTTTTGTGAGTTAAAATTCATCATATTTTATTCCTCACTATCAATCATCAAAGCTGACCATTTCAGCAGTTCCCATGTAAAAGATGTCTGTGGTAGAAATTTGAAGTAGGAGATTGAACAATGATTATAACCTACAGCACTTTAGTCCAAATTCTCACAGAGTTCTTTAGTTCTTTGCCATCACTATTAATTTTATGCTGGAGCTGTGATCAGTTTGTCAGTTAGTGCATTCTTTTCCCTGTGGGTTATACATACTTTGAAAGAAAGGTAATATTGGTACATTTGCTAACTAAAATTACAAAGGGGAAAACAAAAGCAAAAACCAGAACCAACCAACCAAACCCACCAAAACAAAAAACCGCAAAAAGAACTCTGGCCCTTAGAAAACAGGTGGCAAGAATATGTTTAGTCCCCCAAGAAAATTAATAGAAGGAAGGTGAATGGCTTAGACAGAATTAGAATTATATTTAAATGCATAAAATAGAGAAAAGAGAATGTAAATAATGTTGTTACATGTATTACCTGTATATCCCAGAACCTGAAACAATTTTGATGGACGAGCATCTAGAATAAAGATGTGTCCTTCTGTAGCTCTGGCAATGAGGAACTGACCAATCTGATCATAACTAGGTAAAATGCAAGTCCAAATAGAAATCAATTCAATACAGTCAACAAAGAGTCAAATAATTTCACTCCCATAACTTGCCTAAATGCAGCAACATAAACTTCAGCTCCTGGGTTTGCAGTTTAGGGTCAGATATAAAGCTCAGTACTATGAGTGCAGTTTCTAATTGAGTGAGAGGTCAATTTAAAGTTGATCATACTCCACAGCAGTCTGCATTAACAACTTCGTTAAGTCTAAATTTCTTTTACATTCACTATTTTGGAAATAAAACTATTACACAGATCTTGACATTATTTTGAAAAAAAAACATTTTTGCATTGATTTAATTTTGAACAACTTTGAACAAGTTGCTTTCTGTCTTTATTTTTAAAGTTCTGTCTTAGGTAGCTGTGAAGAGGGATACATCTGAGTCTCAAATAACAAGCAGATTTATATTAAAGTTTAACAGTTCAAAATCCATTCTATCTTTTGCAAAGGAGAGTAAAATACTCTCCGATTTTTCAAAAATTGTGGCAGGGGGGAGAAACCCAACCAACAGAAAACCCCAACCAAACACCAAAAGCCTTTTAGATAACTAGAGCTAATTACAAGAGGACTGGTAATCTCCAGAACTTCAAGTAAATGAATAATTAGCAATGGTAAAAAAATCCACCATATAGAAAGAGATGACCAAAAGGCTTAAATTTAACTTCACAAAACCTTAAATTTATATTCAGTGAGAAATAACCCTCTAAAGTGAGATACATGGAATTGTGCATAATTACTGCATATGGTGATTTTTCAGAAAGGATCTTATACATCAGTATCTTCTGTGTTCAGTTAAACCTTCTTAAAATACAGATTTATTATATTTCTCTCATATAAATCCTGTTACTGCCTCTTGCAAGTAATTCAGAATATGCTCAAAAAATGTAGAAGCTATTAAAATATTTCAATTTTTTATTTGTAGAATAAAAAAGTCAATTTTTTTTTGTTCAACTAATATCAATAATCAAGCAATAAACTGACAATATCTCTACCCTACTACATACTTACTGCAAAGACAGCACTGGAAGTTTGGAAAGAAAAGTTTTGTGAACAACCCTTGGAGCTTCAGCTTTGGTAACATCAAGGAAACAGATTTGACCTCTTTGGGTCCCTACAGCAACACTCTTGGAGGAGGGACTGCAAGCCATAGAAGTTGCCTGGTTGAGAAGTAGAAGATACTTAACAATTCAACATATTTTTATATATTATGCTATTTGCTAGCATGCAATTTCCTTTGCTATTTAAAAGTCCCTAAAATTTGAAGAAGAAACCACAAGTGGTTTATTTAAAAAACATGTTTTTAACAAAGAAAGTATTTAGAGACATAATGGAAATTTTATCTATGCTTTGTAGCTACACATCAAAACTTAATTCTGTTCTTTGCAGAGAAAAAAACAACCATTATACCCACTCTCTAGATTTTAAGTGAAAGAAGTTTCACCTAAATAAAACAGTGAGTGCACTGTTGTGTGTATAGCTGTTATAGAAAGGGGTTTTATTCTTTACTATGTCAGATTTCAGGGTCTGAATGCATCTTAAATCAGGACAAGACATTAACAGTTGGGAATACTTTTAGCAATTCAATTCTTAAAACCTGTTTTTCATTATCAGTCAAGGCATTTAGCTTATATACTTTTGAAACTTTTCTGTTACTCGTTTAAAAAAAAAAAAGGAATATCATAAAAATTTAGATTTTTTTACAAAGATATACTGAAAGATGCATCATGAGGACATTTGGCTGAAATGTTTCCTCTGCTTTGAAGTCAAGATAAAAACATGACAGGATTAGCTCAAGGGAACATTCTGAAAGATAATCTTTAAATCTCATTGATGGGTTGCTCAAAGACATTACTGAGCTTTCCTCTGCACTGATGGATGCAAATCTGTGGAATATGATGCTATCAATTTAAAAATACAGAAATTTTTAAGTATCAGTCATGATACAAGCTCCTGGTTACTTGTACCTCAGTATCAAGGTTTATCTTGCTGAGGAAAGTTCCATCTTCCAAGGACCAAACTTGTACTTCACCTGAAATTGTTACAGACTGTTGAACAGAGAAAAACAGAGTCAGAAGAGGATGAAACAACCAAATAGTCTGGAAGTGACTAGTGATCTCCTATAGAATATAGATTCAAATAATCACTGAGCATGGCAGATTAAGGTTTACTTGGGATTATTTAGCTTTTCATTAAATCCAGGTGCTGCAAGGTACATCAACTTAAGGAATATTTTCAATAATTTTTGTGCATTCCTGCAGCTTCTAGCAGAATGAGACAATTTAGGGCAAAATTTGTCAGCTTGACCAATATTAGCACTCCTGCCATCCTGCCAGCAATAGAACAACCTGCTTATAATTTTATTTGCAAAGGAAAGGCCTTGAGGAGAGGTCTCATTTTCTCACAGGAAAAATGATGGGTATCAAACAATTGAGTTCTTCCTATATCCAGGTAATTTTGTAATTCCATAATTACAAGCAGTAAGGCTTACAAGAAGTAAGGCTAGAGATCAGTCAACCTTCACACTACTCACACACAGTCAGGTAAAATTTAGCATTCCCATGCTAATGGTGAACAAAGTGATTCAGCCAAGTTAATAAACTATGACCCCAGGTTTTCTAGGCTGGCTACCTGGAGAAGTCATGGCTTGGAAATGAATTGGTGATTAAGATATATGTCTTGCAGGGGTAAAAGACAGTGAAAAGCAAGGAATTTCTAAGAATGGACAGGTGCATGAGTAAGGCCTTCTTGGTCCCTGGACTCAGCACAGAAGTATCTCTCAGGATGTTCCAATCTGTGCAGAGGGCTAAAAAGATCAGTAGCAATTGTTGGACAACATCAGTTCTCTGAACTGAATCCATCTTTTGCTCAGCTATCTTCCTGAACAATCTAAGTCACACAAATCAGCATCAGAACCAATACAACATAAATTATCCAACCTGAAACCCAGTATAAAAGTTCTGACCCTTTTATAGACTATAGCTGAATGAATGCTATTTACTTCCTTAATGAGAAGTTACATAACTGTAACAAATATCAGAACAATTTGATTTCTGCAAGGCTTTTCATTTTGTGCCTTAGAACATATTGGTTACCTGAAAAGAGCTATTATTCTCTATTACAAATAATACAATTACTTACCACACAGTAGCTGTTCCCTGGAGTAAGAAAATCAGCTGCCAGAAAACAACTGCTGGATGCATCCAAGAGTTTGACAGCTTCTCCACTATGGGCAGGTCTGTAACTATAGACTGTCCCCTGACAAATACAGAGAAATAATCCATCACTGGCATATGAAACTCTTCATTAGAAGCTTTTGAAGACTTAAAAAAACCCTCCCATCTTTCTGAGCTTCACTCTTTGAGCTTTTATATTTGACTCAAACCTTAGGTAAAATGTGCCTAGTAGGATTCATCTGAGTTTAGAGGATTATATTAATTTACCCTGGTTAATGTTAGTTCCTTTTAGAGCACTCCAGTTAACCATATTTTCAAGAAGTTTTGTTTCTCAAACTTGCTTTAATAAAGTAATTTAAACACACCCAATTTCACGTTACTCAAGAAATGAATAAATAGACACCAGCACAAAACTTCATGTCTGTAGAGAGAACAACCCTACTGCAGAGTCACAGTAGGTCTGATACACCCAAGGTACACTTTTCTCCTGTGCAGGCACACATCAAGCCTGGAATTCATGCCCAGTAGATCCATGACTTGGACACATGAGAGACCCTGAACATGTATTCAACTGAACACACACACAAGGATTTCTGTTGGGAAATCCCAACATTAGGTACTTTATATTCCATCATCTCTAGGAGACAATTGTTCTGTGCTTCATTAAAAGTTTTTCCAATTTTCAGTAAAAACACAGAATGGACTATGTTCAGTTCTGATAGAATTTGTTGACTTGTGTGATTACATTAAACATTTTGTACTTGTGTGATTACATAAACATTTTGTACTAACAGTATCAGCATATTCATATAGAATCCCAGGAATATCCCATTATGTAGTGCTGTTATCTCAAATGTTGTACCTGGTCAGTGACAAGCAGCAGACTGGTGTAATCAGGAGAAAACACGAGGCTGGATATGGGCTCTGAGATATCAGCACAGATTTTTATCTCATACTGCAGATCTTTGATGTGATAAAAGATTAAAATGCCCTCCTGTGCAGAAAAGTACAAATCCACATGAGGTCTATGTCAGTTATACTATCTGGCAAAATAAACTGCAAGATCTTAAGAATATCACTAGAGCAGCAGAGTTTAACTGCATCCCATCACCAATGGTGTCATTTGTCTTTAGTAGGTTTAAATTAAAGCACTCTAAACTGAGATAATAAATCTATTGAACATAAAGGTGTTCTTTAATACAATTATTAGTGACAGTCCATGTTTGATGACAACAGATTCTGTCATTAGATAATGCTTTTGATTTCATATTGTTGTTTTTGAGACAGTGTAAGAATTTGTCTCCCACTTGAGCAGGAATGTACAATGGCATTTTCAGATTGAGTTAGATATTGCACAAAATAATTTGGTAATTCTATTGGCCATTTTCTCTCCTTTCCTATTTTGTCCATCCTTCATTTTTGTTCCTCTACAATATTCTTAAATAAAACCAGGATTATCCTCTTTTATTGTTTCTTTGAGTACAAAAATGGAATCCTTTCACACTCTCCTCCCTTGTGTCAAGCCTTAACAAAGTAACATAGTCAACACCAGAGAGGAACTTTATGGTCCTGCAGCCCCTCACTTTTTCCTAACTCCTGTCTTTGCACTGAACTCTGCAAATATACTCCATTTGAATGCAGATTTCACACACTCAGAGTAAATCAAAAGCACAAAGGATGCCTTACATGTCCAGCTGCATACAGTCCCTCTTTACAAAATGCCATAGCAAGTAAAACTGGTTTTTGCAGATTGCTTGGTTTGCGACCTGAAAGCACAAAACCAACACAAAATATCAAATTTAATTTATTTCAACCATGTATTGCAACTCCAAATCCAGGATAATTTACTATTTATTTGTGAGTAAAAGGATCATGAGTCATTTAGATTGGAAGGGATCCTAGAAGTCCTCTAATCCAACCTCCTGCTCAGAGCTGATTTCAAACTCAGAACCAACTGCAAAGTTGAATTATGTTGCCCAGACTCATATCAGCTAAAGTTTGAATATACCCAAAAATGGCAATTCCATGTTTTCTCTGGGCAATTTGTCCCAATGTCTGACTACCTTCACTGTGAAAATATTTATTTCCTAAAATATACCCAGAATTCCTGTTAATGCAAACTGTGTTCTTTGGTTGTATCTTCTCTGTAACCTTTCACTGGATAGCTAAAGCAATAGTAAAATCCCTCATTTCCTTTTCTCCAGGCTGAACAAACAGTTTTCTCACACCAAATTTATATGTAATGTAACAAGACTGTAACAACCTTTGTGGAAATGTGCTGAACTTCATCCATTCTTTTTTGTACTGTGGTGCCCAAAACAAAGCGTTTGAGACAAACCCCTAAATCCTAACTCAGATAAATGATGAGTGATTGCAGTTCTACAGAAATGCTAAAACTAAGCAGTAGGGAACCTCTTCTAGCACCACTTATTCCAATTTAAATTAGAATGAACACAATTTTTTCCACTGTCACTGTTTCTCCTGAGGCTTTTAATTTGGCTGTCTCTTAGCAGAAAAGCTGTTAATCTTTTGTCATGTAAACACACACAAGATTGCCAACAATGTGTCTTGCAGAGGCCAGTGTGAGATGAGTTTTTCTAACCAGTGGCTTCCAGCTGCACTCACATATTATTACTCCCAGACATTAGCAGTGCTGCCTAAAAATCTATTAGCTTCATTTGAACATGGAAATACCTTTCTTTTTCTGCACTTCACTACGAGCATAGGACACCACATCTGCTATTTTCTGCATGAACTCTGCACAAAAGAAAACAATTTAGAATGTCAACCTTGTTTGTAGATCAATATTGTAAAACAAGTCAGTTGTATTCCACTCTATTCAACAAAAGGCCAGGTTCAGTATGCTAAATGAAATATGTGCATTCTTCCTGAATATCTACCATTTCTGCCATCTATGCAACTGAGCAAGCAAGTTCTGTTATTCAGTTTACAGCTGTAACAAGGAGATAACATGGACTTGGGTGTGGAGAGGGGCTCAGATGCAGATTTATCTTCTAGTGCCAAGTTATGGTATTCTTATTTCTAACAATGATTTATTTTTTTATACACTTAGAAGGAAAATTCAGCCACTCTGAAAACAATGCCTAAGTGAAATGTGGCTCCTTATGATTCTGTTTGCAGCACAATATCAGGAATTCAGCATGTGCTTAGTGCTGGCCATGCACTTAAGCATTCTGCTAGATACAGATTGCAGTCTGTTTTAAATTAAGCAGAAGCTTTAGTATAATATAAATATACAGCATTTTGTTAAACAGTTTTAGGACAGGACTCAAAGATGAACAGACAGGCCAAGAAAAGGCCCAAATGGCCAATATTCTTGTTGCCTTCTACTCAACTAACAAAAACAGTTCTGGTCACACCTCAGGTTTTTATTTCTTGATGATTTCCAACTCTTGATTTGCTAAATTTAAAAGTCTGATTGTTTTAAAAAGAGAAATAATGCTGGTTTGTTAGATTGTTTTAAAAGCAGCCTTCCATTTTGGTGTTAACTATCAAAAATGAAGTCGGGGTACTTACTGCAGCTTAAAAAATCATGTGCTATATGTAAACAGAAGAAAATAAGATTACCAGGAGATTATCTATTACCACTAATTCAGTGTTTGTTAGGGAAACATCCCTATGTTAGGGAAAAGTATATTCCAGTACCCCTCCTAGCCCTGACCAAGGTATGAACTTCATGTGCACCACAGGATTGACACCTTCCATCCCATCAAAGGATGATGGGGTACACATTGCTTAAGGAACAATTTTTGCTGGCTGTGTGTCAGCATCCTCCATTTAGGAGCCCTCTTAATGGGCACAGAAGGGTAGTGGCACTTAGCAGAGGAGACACCACCTCAAGATTCCTGGAAACACAGTTAATTTAATAAATTTTGATCTATTTACAGGTTTTTGGGTTTTTTTTTTTTGGTTTTTTATGAAGAAAAATGAAAGTCAGTTATTGGCTGTTAAAAACACCCCCACAGAATCTAAAAAGACATTGTCATATGCTTACTCTACTAATAAAAAAAAGGGTTCTACAAAACAGCTTTATAATTTCTGTAAGGTACCCAATAGAAGAACAGAAGAAAGCCCAAAAAGCTTTCACTTATCTACTTTCTTTCCTGCTTGAATGAAACTCACTCAGCTATTTCTTACCAGGTGGGGATTTTTGTTGAAGAACAGAAACACTGTATTGCTCAGCATCAATTGCCAAAACATATCCTTCTTTACAGCCCATGTATATTTCTGAGGCTGCAGTCCAGCAGTGGGCAGTGGGATGCACTGAAGTCTTAATACAATTTCTAGGCTTCAGCATGAAAATAAACAAGTTCAATCAACAATTGACAAATATCTCTACAAGTTGTTACATACATTTCAAGATAAGAAAAAAAAATCATTACCTCGGAGTCTGACATCATGTTTAACATCAGCATTATTTTATTCAGTCATCCCTTCACTGAAACCAGTAACTTGACAGAGAACATTCTCCAAAAAAGTGTATATCTGGAGACTGTGGTGGAGAAGTCACTTCTCCCTCTAGAAACTTGTTTAAATGATGAATTATATTTTCAATGAAAAACTATCTAGTTTTAAATTTGCATTTATCTGGATTTATTCTCCAGCACTTGCATCTGTTACAATTTTATTTCTAGCTTGGAAATCCCTCCAGTATCTTCCCTATCCTCACAAAGATATTGACCTACCACAACAGGGGCATTTCCCAAAGTTTTAATGATAGAATTATGATAAAATTCAATACACTGAGCCCATAGAAAGTTCTTTAAATGTCAGAAGGGCACTAGAAGCCCAAATTTAAATGGTTACTTATTATGACCTCACCACAACAAATGCCTTTCAAACTGCTTTTCAGAATATTCTTCCACTTTATAGCCAAAACATAAACATGTGGTTCTTGCATACCTGGCAGTACTAAAACACATTTTGTTTGAATAGCTTATCTTATTGTATAATCCAAATGGCTCTGTAAAACAGCTTTGTCAATCTTTGTGTCATCTGCAAATAAGTGCTAGAAATATCCCTGACCTGGACTTCCCATGTGCCTTGAATTTCATTTTGCTAAAATAACTCTCATAAATCTGTCCTCCATAAAACAGGAAGAACAGAACTTCTCCAGCAAATATTATTAAAGACAGAGAGTGGCCTGTTCAGATAAAACAGTAACAGAGGTCATAAAAATACCCTTACAGAAAGAACCAGATTAAAGAGATTCAGGGGGGGAAGAGGGGGACAAAACACAAGAAAACTTTGGGAGAACATTTAAAAGAGAGGATTCAAAGCACTATACATGTGTGCAGAAGTGGTGAGGGTCACTAAACAATATGATGGATGAAAAAAAAGAAGGTTGTTATGGATGATTCTGTAAAAAACTTGCTGTCTCACTAAAGGTTCTATAAAAAGAGAAAATGTGGATGGACCTGTGATGAAAACATAGGACAGAGATCCATAAGTACCTAGATTTCATTAGCAAAATATACCAAGTCCTTGTTATGTGACTCTGGGTAAGTAACTTACATTCTATTTATTTATGCCTACAAAGCATTTTTAGTTTCTCAGGGGAAAAATGTTACAGGAATAAAGTATATTAATATTTACTTTATAAATCAAATACGGCTGACAGTAACAAATTTAAAACAAATAGGGCTTTACATCACCCAGAAAAACATCTAATATAGGCATTTTCACTGATTTTATAAGGCTTGAACATCACAAATCTTTGGGAAGGTTGTAACTGAACTTCTGCAAAACAGAAGCTTTCTGGGTAAACACAATTTCTGCAGTGTTCCTTTGTACCTTCTGCCATCACTGTCTTTACACATAAAAATATGCTAAGCCTAGGATGAGATTATGTAAATCCCCAACAGGGTTGCTTCTTGAACTGTACAATGGTATGGTAGTGCATAATAATAATAATAATAATAATAATAATGATGATGATGATGCTGTCTTTCTTTGACTTCTCTCCCTTTTGAGTAGCACCTCATCAGGGGAAAAAAATCCATGATGGATCCTTGCCACAAAAAGTTTTATAAAAAGACAATGGAATAAAATTGGTGCTAGAGGTGAAATGGATTCAAGTGGGCTTGATTGTCCCATTCTGCTCTGCACTGGGACTGCTTCACCTGGAATATTGTGAGCAGTTTTGGTCACTGCAATAGAAGAAGAATAATAAACTGTTAGAGAGTAGCCAAAGGAGGGCTAAGAAGATAGTTAAGTCTCTAGAGGGGGAGTCATATAAAGAGTAGGTGAAGTCATTTGGTCTTTTCAGCCTGGAAAAGGAGACAGAGGGGAGACCTCACTGCAGCTACAACTTCCTTTTGAGGGGAAGAGCAGGGACAGACACTGATCTCTGCTCTGTGGTGACAGTGACAGGACCTGAGGAAATGGCCTGTGTCAGGGGAGGTTTAGGTCGGACATTAAAGAAAGTTTCTTCACCAGAGGCTGGCTGGGCATTGGAAGAGGCTCCCCAAGAGGAGGTCCCAGCACCAAGGCTGACAGAGTTCAAGAAGAGTTTGGACACCACTCTCAGGGACAGGGAGTGATCCCTGGGGATGGTCCTGTGCAAGACCAGGAGTTGGACTCCATGATCCTTGTAGGGCCCTTCCAACCCAGCACATTCTGTGATTCTGTGGTAAAGCACATTTAGAAAACTCTGAGGAAGGAAGAAAAGAATGGAAAGCTGTGGGATATTTCAATCCTTTCCCTCTGCTGCCCCGCTGTGGTTACACTTGGGTTCGTAGACAGTCTCAGTACGTGGTTCTGGAGCATGGAACACCGACACACCTCCAAGAGGCAAACAAGCACACTGGGCTGGCTTTCAGTGCTGGGGTGTTGGAAAGAGGTGCTAAACGTGACAGCACAATCACAAACATGTGATTTCCCTCCAGTGTCAGGGCTTAGAAGATCTTAAAGGGTTCAGTTTTTCTGCTCGGTTAGAGATGGAGTTTATGTGCACAGGCATGCGTGGAGGAGAGAATTAGTGCTGGAAGGCACAATAAATTCAAGTCCTAAAAAAAATTACCCAGCTACCATCTCCTGGAGCAAGGTGAAAACATGCCAGAAACAGATTCATTGCCTCCCAGAGGTAAACTCTGAGTGTAGAACCTCACAGTTTAGTACACAGGAAACAACATACCACCCTCACAACAAAAGGGACAAAAGCCAGTATTTCTGAGAAAAACCCCATTTCATTTCTAAACAACTTGTGCATTACCTACCACTACTAACAACCAAAATACATCCATCTAAGAAAACTGGACAGTAAATAACTATTGAAATATTTACCATATCATTTGAAAGAAAATGAAATCTTCAATGAAGACTATTAGAACAGTTTACTCTTACTCCAGAAATATTTCTATGGATAAGGAGAACATAATCACATTGAAGGTACTTAAAAGAAATCTAGGTTTTCTGAAGGCAGCTGGGAATGCAAAGACCCTATAAAGATCTCTAGTACATGTATCTAGCATGGCTGAAAGCACAAACTTTTCCATGTAGAAAAGTCCCCAACATGGTTCTGCAAGTTCAAGCATGAGAACCTACCACTACTGCACAGCACGGCATCTATTCAAGGACAAATTCTATAAAGCCTCACAGACCTAACACAGGAACTGTTTTTTCTCCAATACTACTTGTAATTCACTTTACAGAATAAAGAACAAAGTGGGTTTTGCAGAATTCATCATCTGCACATAACCTAAGAGGCAGTAATGCAGAAGAAAATGGCAAGGCCCCAGATGACCACATATTATCTTCCCTTTCTATGTTCTAAGTGATCTCAAATAGGAACAGTTCACATGTATTTAGAATCAACAAAGGATTTTTTAAATAGTTCTTGATTGTCCTAAAAACCATAGGAAACTAGTTACACAGTTAAAAACCTCTACCACTGTGAAAGCATGAGGCAACAAAAAGATGATGAAGTCAGGAAAACATAATTTCCTGGTTTTACTTTTTGATTCTACTTTGTCCATTGAGCAGATGCAGTCTATACTGCCAGTGTCATCTTATGCATGCCAGTTTTGGTGTCTCATATACACCACAAGCCACCAAATAGAAATTGATGGTCTTAATCTAAGAAGAGAATCCCAGATTTGCAAACTAAATGTTTTCACACTTCTGGTAGTCATGTGAAAGTAAAATTTCAAGAAAATGAGAAGACTTTTGAAGCCTCTAAAAAGAGGCACCTCAAGGGAGGATAAAAAGTAAATAATCAAATACAAGCGAGACCAATGGCAAGGTCCAACACTTCCAGTGGTATGGGAATGAATTTCAGAAGCAGGGGTTTCTGTCTGGAAAAAACCCCTCAACGTTTTCATAGCTTGAAACATTTTCAATGTCAAAAAGAAAATCCCAATGGGAAGCAAGAATACATGAGGGTTAATTTAGCATGGGAATAAGTTTTCAAGTTTTCAGCAGGTCATTTTAGCAGAATACAGTAAAATGCTGACACAGATTCAAACATCCACTGCACAGATATATGTTAGGAGCTATGTCAAACATCTCAACACTGTACTGCACTATGCAGCAGCATTGTGCCTTCTCAGTCTCCTGGAAAAATGGATTTCAAAAATATTGCTGAGGTAACAGATCTATTTACTGGGTTGTACCTATTTAATAAGCATTAGAATTATGAATTTATTAACAACTATTTGTATAGAAAATATGACTGGCAATAGTAAAAAGGGAAAAATTCAGTAACTACCACAAATGTTTCTGCTTCATCTCCTTCCAGTCCACCAATGGCTGAAATTGGCAAATCAGGGCCATAGTATGGATCATTTTCACGAGAAGGTGGGAAAAACCAATCCTCCTGAGCACTCATGGCCCCCTGTTCATCAGGGAGTTTCACAGGGCTGTGAAAAGGCAAAAGACAGAGTCAGAGGAGCAGAGATATGAATAGCAACCACTGCTACAAAATGGAGAAGCTGTTTTTAAAATGGGCTTTATTTCTGCAAACTGAATGGAGAAAAAATAAGTATGCCTATGTATTTCCATATGCATTCTGTAAGGCCAAAAGGCAAAAAGCCCTTTGGTGGTTTTTTCAGATCACAAATTAAGGCCTTGTTTATACTTTCATTAGTGTAACTGTGGATGTGGCAATATGTTGATTACATTAATAGTTAATGAGATTAAACACAGCTGGGAATGGCAGAGTAGCTGCCACCTCGAAGCACATGTTTTATATGTCAACAAATCCAGCTTCAGTGGTACATGCTACTTTTCCACCAACCTCAAAACACATTTTGGCATAAATAAATTCTAGTTTTGCTGTGCTCAGTGAATTGCATTGACAGAGCTATGCTCTCTGGACCTGTAAATTAGCCACAGAAGTTGGAAATCACATCGAAAAACTGATACAGCTTTTGGTACAATTTGTGACTACAACAAGATATTGTTTAACTATGCTTGTACAAATTGATCTAAATTTGATGCTTTCATAGCTACAAAAGCAATGCTCAACATAGCCATGTACAAAAAAGCAGTCCAGGCACTACCTTTATTCAGTCACACAGCTTTTGATCAAGGCTGCCAAAGCAGCTGATTAGTATTAGCTTCATGGTGTGCATAATCTTGTCATGTGAGTACTAAGAAATGAAATCATAAATTTAATTCACTTGCTTGACTAGACAGATTTATAGTGGTTGTGATTTAGTAATTACTGACTGCAATACCTAGGTGAACTAAGTGGGACTAAATCCTTTGCAAATAGATGTGTGTTGCCAGTCTTTAATTATTAAAATATACTTATAGATGTTGCTCTTAGCCTGAGGGTGGTTCCACTCACTGTTGTGTGAGGAGATGCTCGTCCTTGCTCTTTTCAATGCACCAGATGGTAACAGAGCTCTCAGCAACAAAACACAGCTGCTGCCAATTCATGGGGTTAAAACTCAGAGAGGTTCCTGTGAGCCCTGGCTGATGCTCACTGCACAGGAGGATATTTTCTTGCCAGTTCCTTCATTAAGGAGAATAAAAGAAAATTAAATCCATTAAGCAGGTAAAAAACATTGAAGCCAAAAGTCGGGATGTGATTAGGACTGATGTTCAAGATCCAGTCTGGAAAACAAATACTTTGTCACTGACAAAAACTTTCTGCTGTCAAAACAGTAAGGTCCTCTTGAGAATGAAAAGGATGTGGTTAATTAGCCACACATAAAATTATTACTGCTAGAAAACGATTGAATAACTGACATTTTAGAAACATTATCAGTCAATCCCTTTTGTGAAAAGACTAATGGTCAAGAGAAATGGATTTTTTTGTCATTAACTCCATCAGCAACAACTAAAATGGGCCCAAACAATTAACTCTTCAGCACCCCAGCCTTGCTTTTCCAATCTGTAACATAATGACTGTAGTGCTTGCAGCTGGAAGGTGTGATAATGAGGAAAGAAACCACATTCAGCTTCTGATTATCTATGGATTAATTACCTAGATAATACAGTAATTGTGTTGAGAATGCAGACATACAAGCTATGGCTGCATTAACTAACTTGGCCAGAAACCAGGGCAGAGATTGTGTGGGGCTGTTATGTGTAGCTAACAGAAACCTGGGAATCTGCTTTCCGCTGACTTTTCTTTTGTCCAGTATAACCTACTTTATGACCTCCTCATCTATTTTTAATATTTTTCAATATTCAGATTAATATCTGATGGTAATTGCATTTTTAGGTGCTATCCAAGAACTGATTAACAACATTTGAAGAAAATGGTTAAAACTGTTTTTTACTTTATTGGACAATCTATCTGACTGTTAATCTAAATAACATTTATAGCTTTAGTATTTGTCATTATTGCTGAGAGGAGAAATGTAAAATGCATACACTGCTGTAAATAGATTCAGTATAATCCCTTAGCCTGGCTGTAAAAAATTCACTCACAGAAACCATCACAAAGCAAACAATGGTTAACATTTATAGCATATGCAAAAAATGGGAATTATTCACACATATGCAGTTGCTCTCATTAAAATTACAGGAAGCTATAAACTGCAATTCTAACTTTTACAGATATCAGCTTATCTTGCTTTCTAAAGATCTGTCAGAATGTTCTTGTCTCATACCTACCAGATAATGCCAACAGGGTTTTATAGCAGAAAATTTATTAAGATCTGAAACTATGGTGAAACATGTATCTGAAAAGGAATCTGACATTAAGTTTCTCCTTTGAACAGCAAAGAATAAGTATTACAGATAAAATATCTCAGATGAAAGGCAGCTTTTAGTTATCCACAAGCTCTTTATATTTTGAGACTGACATCTTTCAAAACATCTCTTACACCTCTGATTCCAAACTAGCTGCTTAAAGTACTGGGGCTGTGCAATTGTCATCTAGTCATGACATCTAATGCTCTACACTGTGACTTCTGACCTTTATACACACATAGATCTTCAATGAATGCACAATATAATCCAATCACAAAAATGAAGGTCCTGATTTCACAGTAAATTCACACACCTCTGTTCAAATCATTGCACATTCTAAGCTTAATATTCTAATGTAATTGTATTTTGTTACTAAATTCTTTGTGACTTAGATGGTTTTTATGACAATTACCTGCTGATAGTTGTAACATATTGCTTCAAACTGGTTAAAATTGTTTGGCCCTGGAAATTACTACTACTTTAATGCATTTAAACACTTCTAGGTGTTCCTGGTTTTAAGAAAAATCTAGAGAGGTCTTTCAGGATGGTGCATTTTTGTTTAAGAGCACACAATGAACACACTGGACCATGTGTGTTACTTCTGCTGTAGGTGATGAGTGTGTCAGCTGTCAGGCCAGTGAGCCTTTGCTGGTTTCCAGTGTGATATGCACAGACATCCTTCTTGAACTACTGTGTATGATCAGAGTTCACAGCAAACATTATTCTTTTTCAGAAGGGAGAAGAGGCATCTGTAATAGCATCTACTCTCATTACTGAAATTCCAGAAGTTTCTGCATCTTCACTTATAATTGTACAAGAAAATATCATCAGTAAAATGAGACTATACTGACAATTCCCTGCATGTCCTCACTTGCCTTTCTCCTACTCCACCCTCCACATTTAATTTGAAGTGCTCAGACTCCACAGCCAATGGGAGCTTGCTGGCAATGAAGGCAAGAGCAGGATTATATTTTATAGTACAATTAAAATATTAAATATTCTACCTTGCTGTATCTGCACTGCATTATATAATACTTCACATCAATGAGCAGAAAATTATGATCTAACCCAGTGATCCAAGTTTGTGTAATCACTGAGCAAAATTTTAAGCCAGAACTAAGATCAAGCAAAAGTAATTAAGAGGACCACTGAACAGTCCAGGGGGACAAACCAGTGCCAATCAGCTTTAGAACCCTTCTCCTCTTTTCAGCAGGCAACTTTCCTCCACAACCAGCATGGTGCTCCCCCTCCAACAGTGAACAGATAATTAACTGATGCTGAAGGCTCTGGAAGCACTCCAAAAAACAAAATTTGGAAGAAGGTGAAAGATAACTTTGCTACCATTAACAGCCATTTTGACTAGTGTCTACTAATACTAAAAAATAAACAGCATTTTTGGTTCAGAAAGTTTGCAGACAATGATCAGTCAGGGAAAAAAAAAGGGAGGTGAAGGCAACCTTCATAGCTTAATCTGTGCTAAAACAGTAGTCACACAAAAATATGAATTAAATACAAATGGTGTAAGAGAATTTTGGTTTTTTACTCTTACCATACTGAAAGAACAAACTCTGGGATTGAAGAGTAACTGGCCAGATATGGGCCTTTAAAACTTAATGCAAGTAAGGTATAGTCCAGCTGAGCATCACCTGAAATGTAAAAATAAAGAATATGGTCTTTGATTGTCCCAGATTTTATTTTATAATACCACAGATACTCTTCTCACTTCCTTTATATCCATTTAACTCTTTAAATATTCTTTAGGCCCTTGATTTCTTTGCTTCACTGCAGATTATTTTTTTGATTTGATCATAAAAATGCTCCCTATGTATCACTGCTTGGAATTTTTTCAATTTCCTTTCCAATAATACCTTGAAATTGTAAAGTGTTTTTCCCCACGTCCCATGAAATCCTTTGCAGTCATAATTTTATTCAAATACATGAAAATGCAAGCATCATGATCCTTATTTAAATGGTAAGGGAACTGAAACATGAATAGGGTAAGCAACTAAACCAAGGAGAGAAATTACATGAAGCAGCCAAAACCATACATTAGATCCTGGACTCCAAAGTTTAACTGCAAGAACCCTCATCCCTCACTCCTGGATTTCTCATCTGGCTTGGGAGTCTACTGCAGTATGATTTTATTGTTTATTCTGACTACATTTTCCTAAAACTAATTCCATTTAACTCCTTTTCCTTTTAAAATAGCTTCATTATGTATGGCCATATTCCTCCCTAGCTTAAACCTAAATTAAAGTAGTGCAGTGGAAAATTCCTTGCACTGCCTTCCATGAATCTCTTCATGAGACAGGACATGTGACAAGGACAAACTGTCCCTGGTTTTCAAATGTTATAAGAAGGCCCCACAACTTCAGAAACTGATGATTAAAGTACTGTTTTAATGAAATAATGATGATGATGAGGGTTCCCACATCACTACCTTTTAACTCTGTCAGTTTTCTCAGTTCTGGAAAAGTGTAGATGTGTATGAGGGGATTCAGCTGCCGGTCAGAAAAAGCCACCACTTGGCTGCTGGCACTTGCTGCAAAGGCTCCCACCTGGCCATTCTGACACTGCACTGCTCTTGTCTTCTTTGTTTTGATGTCCAGGAAGAGGATGTAGTTACCACAAGGGTAGCAGACAGTTTGATTGTTGATAAAGGCCAAGTTCTTGTTTGAGAACCCCTGAACCCAGCTGCAAACAGAGTAACTGAATGTTAAAACATGAATCAGACACAAATTTCTCAAAATACTGTGCAAAAGGGAATGCTGCAGCCTAAGTTACACTGAACTGATGATTGGGATTTGTTAGACTCATCTTCATACCAATGTTGCAAAACCACAACAACTAAGATCTGGTATTATGAGTCACTAGTTCACTGTTTCTAAAAACGTAGTCACAAAATGCACAAAGGACTGGCATAAGAACATGGAGAGATGCTTTTATTTCTTTCAGTTTTCACTAAAAATAGAGTCAGCCAAGTTCACAGGCTCTGGTTTCACATATCCCTGCAGAGGGTATAACTTTATTTGAAAGAACTGCATGGGTAGGATCTGTACTTGGGACCCAATTGTGTTTGCTTAACTTTTTTGCACTTTCATAGTTCATCTCATACACATAAAAGATATAAAGGTACAGCTTCTGTTTATATGAAGCAAACCAGGAGGACTGTTCTGCTTTAAAGACTCCAGTACTTTAACATGGTAAAACTCTGGAATGTAAACAGGATGTGTTACACAAGGACTGAAATGAATTACTGAGGAGGACTCTGTTTATGAGCTTACAACGTGTCAACAAATTTGTAACTGCTTGCAGATGTTTTTACTTTTGAAAAAGTGTGTGGACAAACATCCAGGGTGGTCTTAGCAAAGGGATTTGCATGTACCACCAAGTGAGGATGTCAGTTCAGCCTGCTGGTACCATGGCAGGAAAGCTCCAGCAGTGTCAGAGATACCCTCTGTGTACAACACTGCTGTTAGCATCCTCCCTCTGAATAATTTGAATTGTTATTCAGAAACATCCCATCTCTTCTCTTTTTCCAAATCAGAGAATTTGACTGGGAAGGACTTTTGTTCTCTGCAATGACCAGAAATATTTTTATGCTCCTTTCACAAACATAAGTCAGTCATAAAATCAGCTCAGTTGCTGATCCTTTGTACTCTTCAGAGAAGATGGTACTAAAGCCTCAGCACTCTCATACTTAGGAACGTTTTAAAATTGCTGGTCTTGAGATAAATTTATTTCCAGCAATAACTTCCCATTATCTTTTCTGAGGAATTTCTGCTCTAGGCTTCTTTTGCTACATAGGAGTCAAGTGGAGCCAGAGAGGAGTGGGAGCCCTGACGATGTGCTTGTGGAGATGAACTGAAAGCCATGGCAACAGAGGAGACATTCCAGCTGCCAATGTTTTTCTGGGCCTTCCTTCATACAAGAACAGGTTGTATGGGGTGCCACAGCACATGAGACCTGTCTGAACACGCTTACTGAAAGCTAATGTGCTTTTCTGCAACATTAGCTCTGAATCAGTGGAAATGAAGTATTCCTAACTTCTGTTTGAGGAGGTAAAATGGAATCTAGAAAACTTGTATGTAGAGATAAATTCATGGGGGTGACAGTCCAATTTGTCATTCTTATACATCCAGTAAAGGCCTAAGGGGACAAGGGTTCAGGCTGTTTAGAGACAGATAGGTAGGTAGGTAGGTAGGTAGGGAGAGAGAGAAATAGACAGACAGACGGATGATAGATGGATAGATGGATAGATAGACGAATAGATAGATAGATAGAGAGACTGGATAGCTAGACGGATAGACGGATACACAGATAGACAGGTAACTACTGTGCGAGTGACCACAGGTTTTTTTCAGACAGGCTGTGGAGTCTCCTCACTGGAGCTCTCCCAGAACCGTGTGGATGTACTCCCACGCACCATGCTCGGGGATGACCCTGCCTGAGCAGGGAGCTTGGGCCAGATTACCACTGAGGTCCCCTGGACCGCCCCATTCCGTGATCCTGCCATTCGTGCCCATGATTATTCTCTCCCCCCGCGTTGTCCTCACAGACCCGGACAGCGCAGCCTCCCCTCCCTGTCTGACCGCCCAATTCACGGGGCCGCCGCGGGCTGAGCACAGCTGAGGGCACGGCGCCCCCCAGGCGGGCTCAGGAGCGTGTGGGCGCGGTGCCGGCCGCCCCCACCTCACTTCCAGGGTGGCTCCCTCCGCGCCGGCTCCCGCCGCCATGCCCGCTGCGCCGCGGGACCCCCGCGCCCTGGCAACAGCAACGGCGCCCGCCATTGGCTCGGCTCGGAGCACGCAGCTGATTGGCCCGCGCCTCTGCGCCGGCCAATCAATGAGCACGGGCGGGTATTTAAGAACCCAGGTGGGGACGTTGCTTCTTACCTGAGCCGTGAGAAGTGTGAGGGCTGTTGTTGCAGCTCTTATTGTTAATAAGCTGGGTAGTTCTGCCCCTGAGCCACTGATATCTGTGCGCTTTCACCTGGGTAATCATTGCTGCTGAATCAAGTGTAGGAGCGCATCAGCCTTGGGAGAGAGTCTGTGGGTTCCATCTCTTGGTCACCCTGCGTGTCCTTGCATCTCATCCAGTGCCATCTGCCTGTCTCTTTGCAGGACAGCTGTAGCTATTTTCCCATTGTGTCTTGTGTCTTTCTGCAGTCACCATCCCTAAAGGTGTTCAGGAGGGGTCTAGATCTGCTGCTGGGTGATGTGGTTTAGGGGTGATTTGATGGTCTTCAATGTCTCTTCCAACCTTGATGATTCTGTAATTTCACAAGGTACAAAAGTTCTTCTTGGATTCTGTACAATAAAGCTCCTGAAGCTTCAGAGTGAGCTGAGGAGAAGTTTTCCGTAGAAAAAAAGAGAAAGTACACCTGCAGCCTTTCCAGCCTTTCCTTCTGTACTTGAAGCTTTTAGCCTGGTGACACAGTAATAACCTCCAAGTATTTAAAAAATAGATTTTTTTTTTCCTAAGGGAGGATTTTTATTTATGGTGTGTTTTTTTTTTGTTTGTTTTTTTTTGTTTTAGCTTGCTGTAACTTCCCTGGATGGTGGCAGTGTGCAGTTTTGCCATTCTGGTGTGCACTCACAGTGCTAGAGGGCAATGCATGGAGAGTGGCATTTCTGCCCAGAGGCAGCAGGACAAGCCCATTCCTCACCTCTTGTCTCCACAGGCACACTGCGTGTCAGCCAACACCAGCAGAGAATGAGGAAGTGAGTTTATTTTCTTTGGTACTTCTGAGGGCCTATTGCAGCATGTGGGTCTTGTGATGCTGGTTTGAGTTCCTACATGCCTGTCTCCAGGCTGTGGGTTAGCAGACTGCCTGTGTGTTTCATAATTGCTATAAGAAATTTCAAATTAATTTTCTCTATTTTCATCACACAAAATTTTGTTGAATCTTTACTAAGGATAGGTACTTAGAAGAATAAAGACTATGTCCTCTAACACAGCTGGTTGGACAAATTTTTTTGTTGGCAAAGAGCACCTTATGTACAGGTTCTGTTTGCCTAGGGCGTGGACAAATTTTTATGTTGGCAAAGAGCACCTTATGTACAGGTTCTGTTTGCCTAGGGCGTGGCAGACTTCTGTGCAACAAGTTACCACTCCCCTTCTGTGCTGAGCTGCTTAATATATACATAACTAAGCAGCAGTGACTCAACAAAAATCATGTTCCTCCACTGCAATGGATAATGGTGTCATGGTTGTGTTACTAGTGATCATCTTGGTGTTTTTCTGCAGGTGAGATCTCCACAGAAAATATTGGTCTGTGTAACCTGGTGTCTGAGGCCCAACTTCAGTGACAAAACCAAACCAAAACAGGTAGGACTTGTCCCCTGTGTAAACATGGATCCATTGATGGGACTGGAGAATGCTCTGTTAGCCTGGGGGTTTGACAGAGGAGTATGCACTGCCAGGAAGGCCAGGATTTTCCCTCCCTTTGGCAAGAGCTGTGTCCCTACAAACGTGCTGTTTCAATAAATGTACAGTGCCAACCTGGAGATTGGTGTGTGGAGCCACGGGATGGGAATCACTTTACCTCTGTGGTCAGAAATCAACTTGGACACTGTGTGAATATATGAAAATCATTGAGAGGAAAGCACCTCCATTTCCATTTTTATACTTCAAGGAAAGCTGGTACAAGGAAGGCCCTGGTACCCTAGTCTCAACTAGAGATGGAGCAAAGGGATGGAGAAGACTTCAATCTGTGTTTGGTTCTTTCTTTTGCTCTATGCACACACTGATGTTCCCACAAAGATGTTTGCAGAAGCAAGCATGAATCCTATAATTGCACTGTAGTAATTAAGTTAGATTTAACTTTTGCTATGCTGTTTCCTGGGTTATTGTCTCCTCTCGAGGTTTTTATCATGAAGCAGAACAGCTGCAAGAGAGATAAACCCTTCTTGTTACCATCAAGGTGGGGTTGGATGGGGCTTTGGAGGGTGGTAGGTGATGCAGGAGGAGGCACTGAGGGGAACCCGGTACCTCAGCAGGCCCGTGAGGTGGACTTTGGCCGTGAGTGTGCTATCGCCACGGGAATGCTGGAGCTGGTTGTGCAGTTATTTGTAAACGAGGAGGGAGAAAGGGAGAGCATGGAGAGCAGCTGAGCAGTGCCTGTCCCAGCTCGGTGGGACGGGCGGAGGGAGAGCAGCTGAGCAGTGCCTGTCCCAGCTGAGTGGGGCGGGCGGCACCTCAGGGAGGGACCACCGAGCAGCTCTCGGGGTCAGCAGCGGCAGCGGAGCTCTCCCGGGCCGAGAGAGAGTCGGGAGGGCGGGAAGGGAGGCAGGGAGAGAGGCGGGGCCGCACACCCGTCCCCCGGCGGGCGCTGCCGGCGGCCTGGGCCGGGCGCTGCGGAGGGGCCGTCACCGATCGGGGCCGTCACAGAGCGGAGCCCATCGCACCGTGTCGATATGTCGGGCGATCACTCCCGCAGCCTGGGCAAGGGTAAGCGCCGCGGGCCCGGCACGGATTTCGGGTTCTCGGGCTGGGGCAGGGCCGGCACGGCTCTGGGGCCGGGGCAGGGCCGGCGGTCACAGCCCCTGTGCTCTCCCCGCAGGCAGCGCGGCGCCGGGCCCGGTGCCCGCGGGGCTGATCCGGCTCTACAGCATGCGCTTCTGCCCCTACGCGCAGCGGACGCGCCTGGTTCTCCGCGCCAAGGGCATCAGGTGAGCTCCGGAGCGAGCGGCGGGCCTGGCTTCCTCTGTTTCCTAAATTAAACATCCCTGAACGAGCTGCTTGGGAACAGGCTTCTGTGCGTGGTTTTGCTCTGGAGCTTGAATGAGTAGGGTGTGTATGAAAGCAGCTGCATAAAGGCCCAAAGTAAGAACCCCAAGCTGCTTTTCTTTTATAATTTTTGCCCTGAGTAAATTGAGTAGAGACTGTTTGTTTTTGATGTGAGTGGCTGTGAAAATTCTGGAGTTGTTTCTGTTGTGTCACTGCCCAACAAAACACACTAGAGAGTGAATGACATTTTAAAAAAGGAAATGTACTGTGTTGCTATAACATTGTCTCTTTCCTGTGCTGTAGTTAGTTAACAAAATTCAGTGCTTGTGTTTCTTTTTCAAGATAGCCATTTCAGCATTCTTGAATGGGGTCTGATACCTCCCTCAGGTACAAATGAAAATTAACCATTTTTTCCATATTTTTGTGGCTCTGCCAAGTCCAAGGCCTGAGAGTGGTTTGTGAACCAGCACAGGGCTGGGAGTTCATGTTGGAATGGGGAATGCTAACAGGTCTCTTGAAAGTAAGATGAGGGTTGAGTTAGTTCATTTTGTTTTTTACATGAGTGTTTTGGTTTTGGAAGAGTAGATGCAATAAAACTTCTGTGTCAGTTTAATTCTGTTTTTATTTAGTGTCTTTGGACTGATGTTGGAGTTGGAAGGTTTGTTGTAGCATAGTGATTTTAGAGGGGTTTTATGGCTACCTAGATGTGATAGTTGCCTTTTGGTAACTACTCAGTTGTTTGAAGGCTCAGCTGTGTTTAGCTGACCTTTGGGCTTATAGGAATTGTCTCGGGTCACACATACAAGTCAGCATATAACTTCTGGTGGTTTTTTTTTTTTTTTTTTTTTTAATATAGATGTATTTCCCATATATTTTTTAATCAATATCTATTTGCCTTTGTCCTAAGCAGTTCTTCCTTATGAGGCCATAATTTGGGAAGATAAGCAGGAAGGTTGCTCTCCTGATTTGTTCTTTGGTGTAAGGGCAGGTTAAGGTTCAGGTGCATTTTTTAATTGGGGTGTAGCTCATTTGCAGTCAGCTGCTTCTTAGACTGCCCCTGAACTCACATGTGGTAAGTGTGCTGAGTTGTAATCTTTGTTTTTAGCCTGGTAGTTGTGTGCTTGTTAAGATAGTAAAAGACATGTCTGCAGTCTGCAGACAACCCATTGCAAGTCAGTGTGTGCTTTCTCTAGCAGTGTAGCAGTACTTCTGTGTCAAAGGATTAGTCCTGCAAACAGCTTCAAAGAAAAGAGGGGAGTACAGGGGCTTGAGGGTTGAGCCTCTCAATTATTGAACTGTAGAGGTGTGGGGTATGGGGTGGACTGGAGCAGAACTGAGCCTGTCTGGGTCTTGTTTCTTTTGCTCTTTTAGTCATGAAGTAATCAACATCAATCTGAAGAACAAACCTGACTGGTACTTTGAGAAGAACCCCTCTGGGCTGGTTCCTGTTCTGGAGACCAGCAAGGGCCAGCTGATCTGGGAGTCCCCAATCACCTGTGAGTACTTGGATGAAGCATTTCCAGGGAAGAAGCTGATGCCTTCAGACCCCTATGAGCGAGCTTGTCAGAAGATGCTCTTGGAAGACTTCTCAAAGGTACTGTGTGATCAGAGTGGGACTGTTTCTGACCTCACCGTTGCACCAAAAACTACAGCTCTGTTGCTGATGTTGCTTTCAACCTTGAAGGCAGGTTTTGTGTCTGAGATTAGCATTTAAATAAGCAGAGAGGATATTTGGGGCTTTTTGCTGTGAGCACATACAATCTGCTGTGTCTCTGAATTGCTCCCAGAATTATGTGCAAGGATGGATGCAGGAAGGCATCCAAGCAAGTGAAAGTTTGTATGACTGAGATAGGGTTTTGAGCAGTAGAACAAAGGTTAGCAGACCAAACCAGACAAATATGTGAGACCTGGGGAGTGACAATTACTGTATTTTATTCTGGTCTTTTCTGTAGGAAGTACTGAGTGAATGCAGGATGTGGGAAGTGCCTGACTGAGAGAGCCTAAA